GAGGCAGGGCGATTGCAAGGATGGCCTGAGCAAATGCTGAATTCTTTGCTCAAATCCTTTGACGAATCCACTGTTGGCGCGTCGCTGGGGGACGCCATGTCCATCAATGTTTTGGGAAAAATTTTGCTGGAGTGCATGGTTTCTTTGGGCCACGTGTCCCGGGAGGAAGCCGCAGCCCGAGATCATTGGGTAAACTCAGCCACTACCCGCAGCGCAGCAGATCGAGCATGGCAACTGTTTCGGCCAAGGAAATAAAATCGGATCCTCATTGAGCTGGCCAGGGTTGTGGTCTGACCCGACTCCTGCATTCGAAATCGCTCTGTACAAAGACCAAGTAGATACATTGCGAAGAAAAAAAATGAATGCTGTGGAAATTTAGTTGCTGACGTAAGTATCTTGGATGAGTTTTTGTTGCAGCTAATTCAGCACCTTGCTAGTGTGGATGACATTTCTGTGCACAGATTTATGACCTTGTGCATGGTTATCTGTTTTGGCCCACAGCTGTCTTGCAGCCAGTGGCACGTGATGGTTTTTGCAGGTCCATCATGCCACCAAAAGCAGCGAATAAAGCTCCATTGCCTGATGGCGTGCCTTCCAATTGGTCGGCGTGGCGGCTTTCTGGAGCCGAACAGGACCGATAGTCTGAGATCATGTTATTAAATTTTTAGTTTGAACAGGACCGATAGTCTGAAATCATGTTTTAAAATTTTTAGTTTTCAAAATATCAAACGCAATAATGTCCCATCCAGCAAATTTCAGGCTAAAATCGATGAGGCTGTGAAGACTTTCGAAGAGCAGCTGGCGTCGGATGGATCAGAGAACGAGGTCGATCGGCAGGCACGGCATATGGCAACGAGTATGTTGCCGCCTTGAACATTGTGAAATTTCGGTGAAGCAGTGGTTAAAGAGTTCAGACCACCTTCATCTTGGGTAATATCATCCAAGATAAATCGTACAAAGATAGATCTAGCTCCAACAAAGGGATGCATATATACTCAACACCCAGTTGGTGATTTTTTGGATCGCCCTGCCCCCCTCCCCAGTTACATTTCTGACTGACAGAAGGTAATGGGATTAAACACTGCAATTTCTTCACAGAGGGGTCGGAAGGTCAGACCACCTTCCATTGGTTTGTTTGAATTTGTCTTCCTTCCAGGCTGGCTGCCAAACAAAAAATGGTGAAATTGGCAGCTCTCCCTGGTTTCATTGCTTTGATCGCTTAGCATGTCGGCACCTGTCAAAAAAACTCCAGCATTCCAGGTAGTGAGGTCAAACCACCTCCTCTTCAAAAAATCAAAAATAAACATTGTTTGATGGTTTAGCCTGTTGAAAAAATAAAACAATCCAGTCAGTGAAAGGGGTCAGACCACCTCCCTGCTGGCCATGCCAAAATTCTACAGTTTGGTTCCACAGCGCTGCCACTGGTGGCAACAAAATAATAAACAATCCAAAATAAAATGATCCAGTCAGTGAACAGGGTGAGACACTTCCCCTGCTGCCCAATCCATGCCAAAAAATTGAAACATCATGTGTTTTACATGGTTTGATTGTTTGATTTGTTGAAAAAAAAATTAGTCAGCGAGAGGGGTCGCCTCCCCTGCTGGCCATGCTGCAGAGAATTCTACAGCTTGGTTCCACAGCGCTGCCACTTGTGGCAACAAAAAACAATCGAAAAGAACTGAGAGGGGTCAGACCACCTCCCCTGTTCCATGCCAAAAATGTTTGAAATGTTGTGTTTGACATGGTTTATGGTTTGATGGTTTCATGCCATGCCATGTTGAAAATTATAAGGTTGCATTACCCCAAGGTTACATTACATTATGTTATCATGTTACCCCTGGTCACATCCAGCCCAGTCCCAACCATCCCTTCCCAATTCCCTTCCTACTTTTTCCTTGCCCTACCGCACCAATTTGGAAATTTTGCCGAAATTGGTTTTGAGCCATCTAGTTACCAATCCCATCTTACCCATTTTTTTTCCCAGCCCCAGTGTGGGTAACTTTGCCCACACTGGTCTTGAGCCAACTACATTACATCCCTTCCTCCCCTTTTTTTTTGAAAGCTGGGAAGTCAAAGTCTTGAGCCATTTTGAGCCAACGTGTTCTTGAGCCAAATGTGTTTTGCAATCATGGGTTGGCAGATACATCGGAATGGCTGCTGCTCTGGCCGTGGGATCCAAAGTTAGATAACTTCAGGATCGGAGAACACACGTTTTCCGAAGGTGCAGGTGGCCTAAAACCAAAAACGGTCTATCGGTCTACATTTAACATCGGCAAGGGGAAGGAGGGGGGCCGTCCATCGCCTCTTCTCCGTGGAGGGGTAACTCCAGGAGGCTGGCGGCGTGAGCGCGGGCAGCTGCGACGGCCGCAAGGCTGGCCCAGCGCGAGCTCCAGGCTCGTGCCGCCTGTTGGCGCGCCCAGCGGGGGGTGTTTCGGGCCTTGGCGAGGGCCAGCTGGCGAATCAAGGTGACCGCCTCGGTGGACCACCGGCCACCGATTTCAAGGCCAAAGACGGCAAAGCGGCACCTCGGGGAGTTGTAGAATTCCGGGTAGGTCTGGGTGCGTTTGCGTCGCGCGGCTTCTTGGACGGTGGCGCCGGGGTGGGTGTCGGCCCGCCGGCGGGGCAGTCCATCTCTTCCGACCGGGCTGACCAGGGTCGCGTCCACTGCCACCTGGGCTCCATGCCACAGGGGCAAGCCGTTCACCAAGACTTCGATCGCCCGAGAGTCTCGAGGGGGGTGGGGAAGGTTCATCTGGTTGAGGGGGATGTTGGTGTGCACTCTGCCGCCGGCTTCGCGGCATATGCGAGCGACCGCGCGTTCAAGGGGCAGGGCGCGGGTGCGCAGGAAGCCAGCGGTGGGGCATGCACTGCGGTGGTCGCCAAACTCATCCAGGGGGCCCCCGCACCGGCAAGTCGCGTCTGTGAAAGGGAGGGGGAGGCGCACACGGCGCCGCAAGAGAACGCGGAAGTGTTCACTGGAGAGGGTGACCTCAGGGCTTGTAGGGCATACGGTGAAGGCTCGGCTCGCGTAGGGCCCGGCTTGGGACAGCAAAAGTGCGCGCGACGGGGGGTCAAGGTCAGAAAGAAGCGCGGCGGACGCATTGCTGTCGGCTGCTGAGCTTGCGAGGCGTTGCCACCCTCGTTGGTATTCTCCTGCTTCCCTGGCGTGGGGGTTGGGTGGGCCGGATGTGGGGAGGGTGTCCCAGGCCGGCACGGCGAATCCAGCGTCGCGGAGGATGTGCGCGGCTTGGTTCGCTTCCAAGATGCTGGGGGGACGGGAGCGGGCTTCGCCTTGCAGGAGGTGCAGGATCCGGCTGGTGACGCCAGGGGAGCGGCGGTGGAGGGCTGGGAGGGTGTCGGCCCACGACGCCCAGTACGCGATATGTCGGGTGCTGAAGGCGGAGCGGAGTCCCAGCCCGCCGTGGGTGAGGGGCAGCTGCGCGCGCATGCGCGCAAGTGATGGGAGGGGTTCCCCAGCATGGATGAGGTGTGCCAGGCACTGGCCCACGGCCGCGTCATGGTCTGCGGCGTACGTGGCGGTGTGAGAAGGGGGCAGGGTGCGGAGCAAATAATTTGCTCTGGGTGCGCCGCAAAAGAGGAGCAAGAGGAATGCGACCTGCGTGTCCTCAACAGTAGGGATCGCGGTCAGGAGCTGAGCTTGTGCGACGTGTTTGTCGTGCAAGGCCGCGGCCACGTAGTGAGGGTGTCCGAGGGGGGTGCCGAGGATTTGGAGTCCTTGCGCGTTGGTTGGCAAAGCCCAGTTGCCGGTCCAAATGGGGGCTGCGGGCGGGGTTGGTTGTAGGAGGTGGATGTCCGTGGGTTCCTCCCCGGCAGCGTTCCACACTCTGGTCTTGCCTAGGTGGAGGCTGATGCCAGCGTGCGCGTCAAGGTTGGCTTGGAGCAGGTTGAATATGGGGACGGTGCGGTGTGGGGTGGAGACGACATATAAGTCATCGAGGTAAGCCAAGAGGGTTTCCCCTGGTTGGAGGTGGGGGGAAATGGAGGTGAGGGCGGTGTGGAGGGCGAGGGTCACCTTGTTCGCCTCCATCGCCTTGCAGGACTGTGTGGGGGTTGGAATGCTGGTCGTACCAGAGGTACGTGGAGGGGGTGCCATACAAGCCGCGTAGCATGGGCAGGAGGGGGGCTGTGTCTGGGTTGGCTGCAATCGCCGCCAGCATGGCATGGCGGGAGACATGATCATACGCTCCCATGCCATCGACGCTCAAGATCGTTGCGCGGGGGTCTAACTCCGTTGCTGCGCGGAGGTGTCGGACTAAGGCTTCGGCGCCCGCTTTGGTGCTGAGGGTGTGTTGGTGGGGCATGCACGCGGCCTCGAACGCGGGCGCGAACTGTTGAGCCAAGGTGCGTGACACCAGTCTCCGGAACACGTCACTCATGACGAGGCCCCGCACCCCTCCGTCCGGCTTTCGGAGGGCAACCAGTCGCGTCCGAGCCGCACGGCTGTCTGGATGCTGTCTGCATGGGAGCTGGGCGCGGGCAAGCTGCTGTGCTGCAAGGAAGAGGAGGCGGGCATCGGCGTCCGAGTCCAGGAGGCTGCGCAAATGTTCTGCCGTGGCCCCTGATGGTCCCGCCGCTGCGCCGCGCCGGGCTTGGCGCAGGTTGGCGAGAAATTTCTCTTCCGATAGAATCAGTTCGGGGGGCGCCTGCGTGAGGAGTGCGGGCGGGAGGGGGCGGGCTGGCTCGGGCGGGCGGCGCGCGGGGTCGCGGAGCTGTGCCAAGGTGGCGGGCGTGCCGGGCGCCAGGGGTTCGGCTGTGAGGGCGCGTGCGGCCGCCGATAGTTCGCCCAGGTGCGCAAGGGCGGCAGCGCGGTCGGCGCGGGTCTGGGTGTTGGGCCGGCGGGGTTGTGGGCGGGGCGCACTATGGGCAGTTGTGGGCTGGGCATCCTCGAGCAGTGCTTGCCATTGTCCGGTGTGGAACTGTGCGGCGCGGCGGTCGAGCTCCTCGGCAGGGATGTGGGTCGTTCCCGGCGCGCGGTGGAGGAGCATGCTTCCATGCGCGCACGCGGTCGTCGAGGGTTGAGGGGGCCGCCAGGAGCTCCAAAGCTTGGCGATAGCCGTGGGTCACGGAAGGTGCGATACGGCGTGGCACGGCCTGCAATGTGAGCACTCGGTGCCGCAAAATTGTCGCGAGGACGATTTGGTCGAAAGCGCTGAAGGGGGATGCCGTAGCAGGAAGAGGGGGTGGTGGGGGTGGAGAAGCAGGTTGGGAAGGTGGCCGCCGCGGCGGGCCTGGGTGCGGGCCGCAAGGACGCGGCGCGCAGGTGTGGGGGTGGGTGGTGCGGGGTGAGGAGGGGTACTAGCAAGCGGGGTCGAGGGGGCGGGCGGGTGAGGGAGGAGGGGAAGTTCGTCCGGGTTGGTGGCATGGGGGAAGGTGCGGAACTCATCCGAGTGTCGATCCAAGGCCGCCGCAAGCTCAAGGCCCCCAAAGACTTGGAGGCAAGCTTCTTGCCCCACTGCAGGAATGTATCCCTCCGTGTCTTGCAAGGTACGGACGGCCCAGCCGCAATGGACCTGTGCTTGCGGGGGCAGTGGCCTGCTGGCTGTGCGGAGGCGTTCACAGAGCCCGTCGGTACCGGCTGCGGTGGTGATGTCCAGGGCAGCGATAAGCTGGTCAGGGGGCACGGGGGGTGCGGCGGCGAGCGCGCGCCGGGCCTGATCCCACCAGCTGCCACAGGCGGCTTGCCATTGTTCCATCGCAGCTGGGTGGAGCTCTTGGGCCGCGGCTAAAAGGAGGGGCACATAAAGCCACGAGTTGGCCGGAGTTCGGATGGGGCCGGTGGGTGGGGGTCGGGTGCGCCAGGTGGGGGCGCTCATCCGGGGAGCGACCGGTGCGGGCGCGGGGGCAGGACCGCGTGCAGTGGCGGGCTCGGGCTCGGAGTCCTGGAATGGGTTGATGGCGGCGGTGTTGCAGGCGTGGGAAAGGTTGTCGTCCTCGTGCACAGGCCACGGGGTTCGGCAGAGCGCGCAGACTGGGTTGGGGATTCGGGCTCTGCTCCGCGCTAAACAGGCGAGGTGGTAAGGGTGGCGGCAGCCGGGCCATAGCGCGAGGGCGTATCGGGGTGATGTAGTGTGGGTGATTGGGTCCAGGCACGTAGGACAAACGGGCGGCGCGTCGGAAGCGGCGGGCGGGCTGCTCATGGTGCAGTCGTGGGTCGGGGGGTGGGGGTCGGGCCAAGGGTGTGTGAAGGGACGGGGCTGGGGCCGGGTGGGGCGAAGCCCAGCAAGGGGAGGGGTCGGGTGAGCACGGGCGGTGCCCGGAAGGGGTGGCAGTGGCGGGCGGAGCCCGGCAAGGGTGACTACCGGATCCCACCCGGGCCCGATCGACTGTTTTGGCTGCTCTCAACTCCGGTTGCTTGTCCTCTGCCAGGCTGTACAAACTGGGCCTGGGCACGCCGCCTGTACTGAGTCCTGTCGCTCTGTGTCGCTTCCTGGTCCTCCCCCCTTTTTGTTTCTTCTGGGGAGCGACAACTGTGAGGGACTTGTTGGAATAGTAAATGAAAAACGAAGCCGGAGGCTGCAAAATGTACAGGCGAGTGGTGCTGCCGTGCAATGGGGCTTCAAAGGCGGCGCACACAAACGCAGAAGTTTGAAAGGAAGGTGTGTGTGTGTGTTTTTCTGTTTTTTTTAATTGATTTTCCTTGACAAATTAAAGATTGCATCCTTCAATGGAAAGAACATGAATTTCTATCAAAAAACAATGGAGTTTTCATGAACCAAAATGATTTGTTAAATAGTTCTGTTAAGTCGGGAAAACTATACAATTTGAGTTGGGTCATGAAAAGAATTTAGTTTTGTCGAGAAAATGCCATTAAAGTCATGTCAAACACAATTCCAGTTGTGCATAATTTGTCATTTTTGACGCGGGGATATACGTACCCTCATCCCAGGTAGGAAGCAACTGATCGTATAATTCACATAGCTATGGCAAATACTGGGCGAATCATCTCTATAAAGGGACCATGTTTCACAGCTATGTTAGATTGCCAATGATTACCATAACCATGGCTTCTCTCCCATGTTCAAGATGTTTGAAGTAGCAGAGCTGCACAGGAGCCCTTGCAAGATGCTTGGACAGCATGCACCTGGTTGTGAGGATGGGTATGGCACATGCTGATCCCACCCTCCAGGAGACTCCCAAGAATCTAGCCGTTTTCAGTGGGAGGAACCATGTTACAAGCCCAGCGATTCCTTTTTCAAGACGACAGTGCAGAACCATACGGGCAAACACCGTCAAACTTCTGTCTCGCCCTATCTTTCATGCAGTTGTTGGCAGGACAAACTCTTCACCAGAAGTGCTGAGCAGCCAAGTTCCCTTAATCAAGCTAACTATCTCCAAAAATTAAGTGGGCAGAACTGGTAGACCATGCTTAGCCAGGAGGTCTTTTGCCTTGACACATGATACTCAAAATCACGGATGTTGATTGGCTTACCCACTGAGCCCAACGTAGCCAAACTTCACTGCCCAAGTGTTGACCCAGTATTCGTCCTTTGCTCCAGCAATCTCCAGCATAACACACGTGTTTTTCCATTTGATTCATTGGATGGCTTGGCTGGAGCTGTAAATAAAAACACAAATCCGGCTACCCTTCAGTAATCAAATATGGCTAGCTGGGAAGTCACAAACGCAGGTGTGAACGGGAAAAACATCGAACTAGATGCATCCATGTTCAGCCGTGTTTGGGTACCAACAGGTAAACCTTGCAGCATGAAACGTCCATCAGATTTATCCTCATTTATCAATAAGTGGGGACATTCCATTCATCTAATCAGCTTCTCCTATATGGTTACCCTGAGGATTGTTGAACAGTTTGCTATGAAAAATACCCCCATTTGCAGATGATCTATGATGATTTACCTACTCAGTCCGATTCGGGAGTGCAATTTTTGCTACGTTAAATCATCATAGGGTACAAAATATGACAAACCACTTCCTAGCGGGAAATATTATCCAATTATCCCACCATTTGTTTCTAATGATAGGGTGACTACTGGGATACCAGGTATGTACCGAGGAATGCCACCAATTTATGGATATAACCATGGCTATACCCATTAACAACCCCAGTGTGTACCAACATGTACCAACAATTCATGGGACAAAAATGGATGATCATTGGAAAATCATTGGATGATTACTGAGATACTTGTTCACTTCTATCAATTTTTGGCCCAGACCCAGGAATTCCTGGACGCCTCGTTGCCCAGCGACCTGGCTGCTGCCGCTTCGCTGCTGGCCCTGCCACTGTGCCGCGAGCGCTGCGTGCAACGCCTGCGGCAGTGGCGACAGGGTACGCTGCCGCAGCGGCGGCTCGGTGCAGGCCACGGGACGGGAGGCACCAGGGGATGCAGAGTTCGTGCTGGAAGTGGCTTGAAACATCTTGAAAGATATGAAAAGATATGGAAACTTGAGGTGACAACCATGAAAAGATGTGAAAAGTTGAGGTGAAATGGCTTTGAAACGATCCGGAAAAGTGGATTTTGCCAGCAGAGGTGGTGATTTGTGTCGCTTCCGAACCGGTTATTCAAACCTTCACAAGCGAAGACGAAACCATCAAATGTGGGGATACAATGGTAGAACATGGTAGAACTATGACAATGATGTATTATGATAAGGTCTGGCAGTGACTTTCTTGACCACTGCCAGGACAGTAGAATATCTAAAAATAATGATGGGTAAGGGGAGCCAGTTGTGAGTTCTGATGATTCATCCAGTTGCAAACCAAGAAAGTGAGGCTGTGACCCTGGTTTAAGCCTGCGAAATCTGGTATATAAGTATATAATAAATAGATTAATGGTATTGTATTTAAAGAACAGGACACGGCGTTTATAGTGTTACACGTCCAAAGTAGCGCGCGGATAGAACCAACAAAAAATACGGATGTAAGCTCACATGACCAACCCAAACAGAAGATAGTGTCATCTCCTCAAAAGTAAAAACGTACAGTCAACCTAAATTTGAAATGCGTGTTTATAGCTCAAGTGTCTTCACTTGGGTCATAGTTTACACATGTTTACACCTTATATCCCAGTCGCCGCTTACCCGGTGCCATGGCGCCAGGGAGGTACCACTCGCTGCTGCTGCAGGGCGGTCGAGTGATAGCCATCGGCCTGAATGGTCAAGGTGAAACCAGCGTCCCTGCGCTGACGGAGGATCTCAGATATGTTCCATGGCGAAAAACGGCAATTCTGAGGCCCCAAATGGATATCTTGTATAAGTACCATAGGAATCTTGCAGAAGATGGGGAAACACGTGTTTGATTTGGGAGTCATATTGAAGTGTGCACGGACTGTTGGGATGATACCCAATTTTTTTGCTAGGAGACTTACGTTGATTGGGCACGGAGCAGAAGGGCTGGCGTCAAGACATCAGCGTTTCCAATGTTTCATTTCCGACGGTTGCAAATATCAAAGTTTAGGGGAGTTGTTCTGCTTCGAAATATAGATAACAAATAATTCAAATAACGCAAGAGATCGTTTTTCCCTGAAGAGATTGCTGCCCCGTAGTGGAAGATCAGAAACCACCCTCAAACAAACCAAGGTGATTTTCGTCAAAAGCAACACTTCGAAAATCTTTCGGCTGCAGTCCATCTCACCACATATGCGTTTCAACCCTAAAACCCTGGAGATTTCGCAAGTGACTTCCATAGTTTTGGAGGATTCGATTCAGATGGGTAGCTCAACCATCAGCCGAGGTGGCGGTGGCTGCTGGCATGCAACACACTTTGCTCTTGCGCAGCGATGGTGTGGTCAAGGCCTTTGGCTTGAACCTGGATGGACAGACGGATGTGCCGACACTGCCGCCACCCGGCGTGACATTGGGGCAGATGGTCGTTCCAATGGTGATGTTTCACTGCCCCTTTGAACCTTGAGGAAATGAGATCATTTCACGAGGTGAAAGGAACCAGGAGCAAAATAGTGAGGAAGACCAGTTCCAGCTGTGAAATCTGAGGCGACCAATTGTGGCGGTTGCTGCTGGAGGATTCCACTCTCTCGTGTTGCATGGCTCTACAGTTGATTGCTCGAGCCAGCATATTATTTGGACCAGCTGCCGGCAAGCTGAGTAATTAGGGGATAACTCTGAATTGTGACAACAGACAACGTATGTTCTCTCAGATTTCTTTTAATTACTTGGTCGGTGTCCTCATGACAATTACACTAGCTATCGCCAGTTCTTCAAAAACGCAACCGTTCAGAAACCCTAACTCGCCATTTGGCCAAAATTACCCAGAGAGATTTCAATGCAGATGGACCCCCTGTCGCAGCAGCAGGTTGGACGACACCGGCCACTGCTGGGCCTTCGGTTGTAACCGCCACGGCCAGTGCCAGCTACCGGAAAATGCTCATGGCCCGGTCGTGGCAGTGGCCGCCGGAAACCGCCACACGCTGACATTGACGGGCGATGGACAGGTACTGAGCTGCGGAGAGAATGGCGAGGGCCAGTGCGATGTGCCAGCGCCTGGGAATTGAAAAGTGGAGGGGAAGTGGCAAGGTGCTGTCCCACCAGTGAAATGTGTATTGCAAAATATCATATATCATATATCATATTTATATATATCTACAGTATATATAATTATATATATATACACCAATAAGTATCCATACGTCCCAGTAAAACCTACATGTTTTAACCAACTTAGCTAACGAAATGGGGCACCACCTTGTGGTAGTCTTGTAAGCCGAAGAGAACCCCAAGTGGCTATGGTTGGTCTTGTCCCACTAGTGGTGGATTATGTTCCAGCTTGAAAATACCGGAGGGTACTAAAGTGGGTCGCAATCCCCTGTGTCTATGCTTTCCGGGAAATATTGGGTATGCCCCAGCCACATAAACTAGTTTGAGGGATCATCGCTGTGGAAAGTTTACCCAAAATGCTACCCTGTGGCAGCAAGAATACTAGATATACATCATGTGAGGATGGTGATTGTACCCCACAATATCCCCATAACTCACAAATACTCACCATACTTCCCACTATTCCATCATTTTTTGGTTGGTTAGTTAAGCCACCATTTCTTGATGTCGAAAATCAGCACCTTCAGCACCCTTGAGGATCTCTTCTGGGAGTCCTGCAGCCACCAGCTGAAATACATCACCGTAGCAGCGGGCGGGCGGCACAGCGTGCTGCTGCGCAACGATGGCAAGGCCACCTGGGAAGGGCTGGGCATCTAGTTGTAGGATCAGTTAGGCCCTGGTAGAGTAATGCTGATCAATAGTGGTAATGGTTAATAACGGTTAATAATGGCTGATACTGGTGATAATGGCCAAGAATTGGTGATGAATAGTGATTAATAGTGATTAATAGTGATTAATAGTGATTGATAGTGATTGATCGTGATTGATCGTGATTAATAGTGATTAATAGTGATTAATAGTGATTATCAGTGATGAATAGTGATTAATAGCGATTAATAGTCATTGATAGTGATTGATAGTGATTAATAGTGATTAATAGTGATTAATAGTGATTAATAGTGATTGATAGTGATTGATAGCGATTAATAGTGATTAATAGTGATTAATAGTGATTAATAGTGATTAATAGTGATTAATAGTGATTAATAGCGATTAATAGTGATTGATAGTGATTGATAGTGATTGATAGTGATTGATAGTGATTAATAGTGATTATATAATAGTGATTAATAGTGATTAATAGTGATTAATAGTGATTAACCGTGATTGATAGTGATTAATAGTGATTAATAGTGGTTAATAGTGATTAATAGTGATTGATAGTGATTGATAGTGATTAATAGTGATTAATAGTGATTAATAGTGATTAATAGTGATTAATAGTGATGAATAGTGATTAATAGCGATTAATAGTGATTAATAGTGATTAATAGTGATTAATAGTGATTAATAGTGATTAACCGTGATTAATAAGTGATTAATAGCGATTAATAGTGATTAATAGTAATTAATAGTGATTAGTAGTGATTAATAGTGATTAATAGTGACTAATAGTGATTAATAGTGATTAATAGTGATTAATAGCGATTAATAGCGATTAATAGTGATTAATAGTGATTAATAGTGATTAATAGTGATTAATAGTGATTAACAGTGATTAATAGCGATTAATAGTGATTAATAGCGATTAATAGTGACTAATAGTGATTAATAGTGATTGATAGTGATTGATAGTGATTAATAGTGATTAATAGTGATTAATAGTGATTAATAGTGATTAATTAATAGTGATTAATAGTGATTAATAGCGATTAATAGTGATTAATAGTGATTAATAGCGATTAATAGTGATTAATAGTGATTAATAGTGATTAATAGTGATTAATAGTGATTAATAGTGATTAACCGTGATTAATAAGTGATTAATAGCGATTAATAGTGATTAATAGTGATTAATAGTGATTAATAGTGGTTAATAGTGACTAATAGTGATTAATAGTGATTAATAGTGATTAATAGTGATTAATAGCGATTAATAGCGATTAATAGTGATTAATAGTGATTAATAGTGATTAATAGTGATTAATAGTGATTAATAGTGATTAATAGTGATTAATAGCGATTAATAGTGATTGATAGCGATTAATAGCGATTAATAGCGATTAATAGCGATTAATAGTGATTAATAGTGATTAATAGCGATTAATAGCGATTAATAGTGATTAATAGTGATTAATAGTGATTAATAGCGATTAATAGCGATTAATAGTGATTAATAGTGATTAATAGCGACTAATAGTGATTAATAGCGATTAATAGCGATTAATAGTGATTAATAGCGATTAATAGTGATTAATAGCGATTAATAGTGATTAATAGCGATTAATAGCGATTAATAGTGATTAATAGCGATTAATAGTGATTAATAGTGATTAATAGCGATTAATAGTGATTAATAGTGATTGATAGTGATTAATAGTGATTGATGGTGATTGATAGTGATTAATAGTGATTGATGGTGATTAATAGTGATTAATAGTGATAATAGTGATTAATAGTGATTAATAGTGATTAATAGTGATTAATAGTGATTAACCGTGATTAATAAGTGATTAATAGCGATTAATAGTGATTAATAGTAATTAATAGTGATTAATAGCGATTAATAGTGATTAATAGTGATTGATAGTGATTAATAGTGATTAATAGTGATTAATAGTGATTAATAGTGATTAATAGCGATTAATAGTGATGAATAGATAATGGCCAATAATGGTGATCAATGGTGATGAATGCTGATCAATATTGCTGAGAAGCGTGGACCCTCCGGTGGCATCACGCCCGTGGCGGGAAATCCCACAACATCCCCGAACGAAATGGTGGCTTCGATGGGAAGTTCATCGAAGTAAATGGTGGGTTTTCTAATGCCATCTTACCGCAGGGTACCATTGCAGCCATGGAAATCATCAGCAAATCATCCAGAGGGAAATGTTCCGTGGCTATGTTGAATTATTGTAGTGGATGTTTTGGATGTGGGAACGCCATACAACTGGACATCTTATTGTACAACATGACGTAAACACCCCAGTTTTCATTTGATTTCTCCATTCAGCCAGCAAACATCTCAGGGTTACATGGTCTTGTCGGAAATTCAAGGTGGAACCTCAGTACAGATATGTCCCGTGGAAAATGTCAGGCATTGTCTATATCATACATATATTTGGTATATGCTGTATATGCTATAGTAAGCCCCAAACAGATAGAAACGTATTTCCATGATGGAATAGATGATATTTTTTTCCCATAGTTTCCAGATGTCCAGCGTTTCTCATTTTATCGGTGTATATGTATACATTGATTTGAATCAGTGCTACTGACCACTTACCAATCTGAATGCAGATCCAAGCAACAGAGGCTGTCGGTATTGGTTGGAACTTCCACGGTCAATGCGTCTTGGCTCGTTGATGTCCCCGCAAAAGCTGCCATGGGGTGGCAGCACTGAGAAACTCTATGGTTGGGAATAGAGATGCGATCAACAATAGGTAGGAAACAATCAATACTTCAGGACTCAAATCGTCAAAGAACTAGTCAAAATCGGAAATCTCTGATCAATAATAAGTAGTAGGATTGTAAACTTCAATCCCGCAATCCTGTAACCAACCAAAGAGGATAATTATGAACCAATTGGGATTTGTTGATGTGTGTACGTTTTTTGTGGCTTCGGGCTCGGCGTTTTTGCAAAAATGTGCAAAAATGGGCGTGCTCCAATTATTTATTGCTATCGATATAGCGGGCACATTATTGGAAGATGTCAATCAACCAGTTGATTCAATGACCACAATGAATTTCATGGATCATCGTCCTGGTTCCTGGCAAAAAATATCGAAACGACACATGAAATCCTAAAGACACATTAAATTCTATGGTTTGCTAGGAAATTCATGTAAATTCCATGCTTCTAATAGCTACATCTCAATCAGGACATCCATGTTTCATGGTTAAACTCTCACTAAAACTTCCAGTTTAACAATTAAACCCATGTGTTTCATGGTTAAATCTCCAAACACCACATCCATTTTTCCATCATGGTTCATAATGTTATATTATATGGTTCATCACGTGTTCAGCATTGTGCATCATTTGTTCATAATGTTCCATGTGTTTTCCATCATTTCTCATCCTTTGTCCGTTTTGTTCAATCATTCTCTCATCACTTTTTCACGGTTCAATCCTTGCTGCTTGGTGGTTTCAAACATGGCTTTCATTTTCCATTTCATATATGGGATAATCATGGATAATCATCCCAACTGACTTTCATATTTTTCAAGATGGTTAAAACCACCAACCAGCTTGTTTCTTGAGCCCCCCATGGCTTGCCAGGTGACTTGCCCCGCAACTCGTTCTTCGTCTCCGCCGCCTGCGGAGAGAACCACACGCTGCTGCTGTGCCGCGAGGGCCGAGTGCTGGCAGTGGGTGATGATGGCTACGGCCAGTGCCAGGTGTGGTGTGCTGTGAGGAAGTTCGATCATCAAAATAGGGATTTGATAGGAATGATGTGATATTATTGTATATATATATATATATGTACATATTAATGATGATGATACTATTGGTATCTAGTGGGATTATATTGCTGAGGATGGCATTTCTAGACTTGAGCCGACTGGAGTCTGGATCTATGGTTTGTGTATCTCTTGATGCACATAGTGGTTAGAGCCCACTTTCAAAGAGACTTTAGCCAAGCAAAATTCAAATTTCAATCAGCAAACATGAGGAGCATGATGGTATAACCATGTATAACCAATGGCAATAGGGAGTGGCTGTAAGCTGGGTATGACCGCCAACAACAATGAGATAACCCCCACTAGAAACCCTGGGTTCGAAAAGGGGATCTACTGCATTCATTTTGGGAGCCTTATTAAATGGGGCATGCAAAGGGTGGTGGCATTTGCTAGTCCAACCTGGCAGCTTAGAGTTCCTGATTTGTATCCGCGTATAAATTGCTTTCCAACACGAAATTGGCCTTTTTAAGTTGCCATCGTTGGGTATGTTTGGGCACCAGAGGAGACGAAAACGAACATTATCAACTTAATTATCAACCAAAAATATAGGGAGAGAGAGAGAGAGAATGATTACCACCACCATCAGTACCACTACCATGATCGTCATCGTCATCATCATTGTCATCATGATCAGCAGCAGCATCGCGATCATTCTTATTATCTTATTTGTTTTTGGACCAGACATATTGGTGATAACACGGATGAATGTGTTGGTTTAGTTGGAAAATTGTGTACTGTAATCGCAGATGAGGGGATATCCCCATGTCCTCTGCTACACATGGCAGGTCTTATATCCCCAGTAGATATCAGTAGATGACATTCATGGGTTACATACACTCCAATCCTCATCCCTCTTAGAGCTACATTCGACTGGTTCCTTATGGTATATGTATATATGTTGCATCCTTCTTGGAAGCTGCATGTTAACTGTTCAGCTACGAGGATCATGAGAAATCTCAAGTTCTAAGCTGTTTCTTTTCTGTCAACAACCCTCTGGTAAACTAACATAACTATGGGAAATCACCATTTTTACTAGGTAGATCCACCATAAATGGTCATTTTCAATAGCTATGTTACTCTAAGTATCCCGCTTCAACATTTAGAGTGTATGTACGTACTGTAGTTTGCAACCCAACCTTCAACCAACCACAGAACTGCACCAGCTCATAAGCTTGTACAAGCTGTACATCCTGAATGTCGAAAGCACCCTAGGTCCTAGGTATCTCAATTAAAATTAAAATCTACCAGCCTACAAATCAGGATGGTCTTACCGTAGATGTCAGCATCCACCAACCGCTATTGCCAAGTTTCCTAGCTTCATGGGGTTGCTCATGACTACCTCTACAGACATCACTTTTTAAGTGGATAAAAAACATGTTTCCACCACCATTTCAGGTGATGTTTGAATTTAAAAATACCAACATGGGAAATCTAGCCGTTACATCTCCAATGTGGTTGGTTACCTCTCCATGTTCCTTTCCTAAAATCTCAGTTTACTTGAATCTTCAAATCCCCTGCCAGTATGTTACCCAAAGCTCCCATATTTTTTGGTCTTTTGCTACAGAGTTTCCCAACCACACGATAGTAATGGGCAGAGTATGAAATATATCGCATGAGTTGCGGTATATATTATATACGTATATACATATATATATATATATGTGCATATATATATATATACACATTACCACTGACAAAGTCAAATGACTCATGGGCTACCCGCCGGTTTGAGCGCTAGCTTCAGCTTGGAATCGCAGTTCCAGTTACTTAAGTGGATAGATAACCATTGTTAGTCATAGTTATTTATTGGTTATATCCCAACTTATGGGGTTTATACTCATGGTTATACTTATGTTATACCCATTTTTTCACCGATTTTTTCCACCTCAAATGCACCCCCAAGGGCCCCTGTGGACCTTTCAACAGGTGCCCCAGCTCCCCTGTGGCCTTCGCTACGCGGCCATCGCTGCGGGCCATCGCCACAGCCTGCTGCTGCGTAGCGATGGACGAGTGCTGGCGCTGGGGGATGATGGACGCTTGGAGAAGTTGTTGGGTGAAAATATGAATCTGGGTAAATTTCATCACGACCTCACTGTTCGACCGAGCCCTGGAATCATGGTTTATTTTAGGGGAATCATCCCCAAATGGCCGCAAGATTCAGGTTAGTGAAATGTTATAATTTGCCCAGATTAATCAACACCACGAGCAAAACTATGAACATGAAACTGGTATAACGTGTCCAATATAGTTTATATATAAATGAGTATACCCATGTTTTGTCCATGAGTACAAAATATGAAGTGGTTGGTGGTGTGGACCATGTTTTCCATATATTGGGGATAATAATCCCAACTGACTTTCATATTTTTCAGAGGGATAGGTATACCACCAACCAGTGAAGAATCATCATCACTAGATATGAAAAATGATGATTATTGAATATCTATCAATGTCTGGGACTCTGAATATCTAGCAGTTATATTGATAACTCTAATAACTATAATTATGACTAGATATGGGTCGAAATAGTGATAATATGTTGGTAGTAGTTTTCCAATTACATTGTTATTAGTTTTGAAAACAGTGCTTTTGTAATCACTCGATATTGAATCATCCACCAATGATAATAGCAGGTATAGGCACAATCATTGATCATGTGGTTTTAAATAAAAAACAGGTATCAATATGTTTAAATCATTGATCATGTGGTAAGCCCAATAGTAAGCCATCCCCAATAAGATCACCAGAAACGGGCTATCAATCACCATCAAAAGATTGGAGATTCTTATTTACCCAAACTCGACCTTTGAACAATTGCACTGTTTCCCCAACATGTTGGTCCTTTGACACATTTTGTGCGTGTTTTTTTCTCACTTGTTGGGTGATCAGGAGAAAACCCAAATTACTCACACCCCATAGGTAAATTATGCGGCATGAATCGTATACCAAACCAACCTGAAAATCATTAGAAGAGTACTTTGCCACAAACAATGAGCTTGGGCAGATGATAAGATGCCTTTTTGCAGACACCGAAAGGAACAGCAGAGTGTTCAACATGCAGGGAATTGAAAGCATGTAGGCATTAAGCACCATTGGTGACAGTGCTTTTTTCCAAGTGTTTCCGAACCCAATGAAAGGAAACTACATGACATAGCAACCTTGAATAGACGAAGCAATTCTCATGCTTGTTTCATTTTACTTGATTCCTTCCCTTTACACGTGGCTCCTAAGTAGATTCAGGCCTTTCAGTCCTAATTGAAGATGCTTTGACTAGATTGCTTGTTTCACGATGCGTCAGTCAGAGATCTCTGCACGGGTTCGACCAGCGCAGGCGAAGGGCAATGTCAGATCCCTCGTGGCTTGCATATGGACGACAGCTAAGCCGATTACGGCACAGCATAAGGCCATGACATCACCCAGCAACTGCTGGCGTCACGTGACAACCCTGGTGACCAAACTGGATGTGCCTTCTGCAGGTCCTGGAGAGTCCACCGAACCCTCTGCTCACCTAGGAATAACCTTGAAGATCTCCAAGAAAGTGATGCCAAAGCACCACCAGTGCCACGTTGTATGTTGGCCGATGACAAGAAGAAAGAGAGGAAGAAGAAGAATTCCTTCATCACGAAGAAATGTCGTGATGCATTTCAGAACGAAGAGAAGTGCCTCGAGCAGGCCGTACATGGCAATTGCAAGTGGTGCGAGGGGCTATGCGGACCAAGCGAAGTCTGAGGCGCATTGACATGGCACTGCGAGGTGCGGTCAAAGTCAAGGTCAAGTAGCCCAATCGGATTCAAGCCAGACATCTCTAGGAAATGCCAGAACCAGTCTTTGGGTCTATGGCTTTGAAAGTCTGACCCAAGAGCCATGTAGATTCATGTAGATTCTTGCCAAAAAGACTTTATTTTCGAATTTGATGTTTCACCTCTTATTTGCGCTGGGGTGATCATTCCAATGCGGAGGTGGTTGAAAGAGGTTGCAAGCCAGTTGTAAGTCCAAAGTGCTTTAACCACTTGCTGAGTTGAATGATCACCCAGTAGCTTTGATCCGTCCAAGACGGTGAAAGTATTGTTTTGTTTGGTCTCAGCCAGCTTCGAAGAGCGTTGGCGGCTGCATTTGGCTAAGGAATTGGTGGCTGAGCAAAAAGCGAAGGATGCAAAATTTAGTTCGACCCGGGATGTGTTTCAAGTTATAGAAAAAATGTGGTAAACCCAATAATATCAATAAACTATCCCCAATAGAGGTTGATTATTGTGCATACTCCTGGATGTAAGATGATCCCCAGAACCAGTTCAGGAGGCTTTCGAAATAGTCACATCACATCGATTGTGATACTAAGGATACTTGCTATGCTTGGTTCCCTAGCCTTTTTTTTTGCGAAAATCATGGTACCTACCCATACATTTATGCAATAAGCAGCTGCATTAAAGGTAGATATCCTAGGAAACCACATGGGATATGGGAGAGTATGTTTCTCAAAACTGGCTTGGTTGAGAAGCATCATTTAAACAGTGGTGTGTTCTTGGGTGATCTAATGATCTTTTGCATTTTTTGCATCTCTGTTGATTGTGAACACTTAACACAACAATGTTTACAGTAATGTTTGCTTGAAGAACTGCATATGGCTTCCCGAATTCATATGTAGATGTCTCGGACGGCTTGCAATTCATCCCTTGAAGTGCGCTTGCTGTGGCAGCTGTTTAAGGAACTGGAGTCCATCAAATGACAAGCAAACGGATCAAACAGCGAGTAGACTTAAGAGTCTCAGTCCCCACAGATTCCACAAAAAATGTGTTTAACGAAATGGATGACGGATACCCCCACGTTTCAAATGAAGAGATTCCTACAAACAAAATGTCGGCTAGCCTTGAGGAAATGTTGAGATAGGCATTGCAAAAACATCTTGCTTTGGTTTCATGCGGCATGCCGAAAAGTCACAGAAGCAAATAGCCCCAAATTTCAGAGCCTGCTCTTTTGACGGGCCAAGCACACAGATTTCATGGCCCTGCGGGATGGCGTATGTGGCTGTTTCTTGGTAGCAACTGGGCTCGTGGACGTCCATGTCCATGAGGTGCAGCCGCTGGTTGTTTCAGAGATAGATAGCCCTTTATTTGATTTTATGTGTCCACAAGTGGACCCTGCTTCGATGATTATCCTTTTTGTTTGGAAGAACCTTGGTTGGAAAGTCCTTCAATTCGGTGGCCCCACATGGCCCCACTCGTAAGTAAGGTTATTTCATGCTATTTCACGATTCTGTGGCACCTGGCATTTAGGGATTGTATCCCCCGCTGGTATGACACGCTGAACCAACTGCATGTTGCGAAGATGATCATGTTTCAAGCAGCTTAATCACCAACCGGGAATGCGATGCTTCTTGCCTTCCATATGTTTGAAATTTGCTTGAAGTTACTGTGTCATAGTGATTTGATAGCTTAAATTTATCATGCCCATATGTGTCATGAATCTGATATATATATATATTGTATTATACCTTAACAGGTGGGTGATATTGGCCTACACTAAATAAACAAACCAAACCAACAGACAAATAAAGACAACTGATTTGCTTGCATAAATATAGTACCATTTGCATCTCAATACTGAATATGTTATATTCATGTCTATACATGTGTAACCCCCATTGTGGCAATTGTCACAAGACTAACGATTGATTCTGATCATATTAATTAGTAGCAATGATGATCAGAATCGCAACAATAACAATCACAATAATAGACAACCACTCACAATCATCACGCCCATGAAAAATAACATGCTTACTAACATTAATTAACCAATAATCATCAATCATGATCAAAAATGATCGTGAATGATAATCATCACGACAGTCATAACATCCCCTGTGCCCGTGCCCTGTGTTTTTTTGGGGGGGCAGATCTTCACCCTTGTCGTTACCCAGGCCTGAGCTTCGTAAATCGCTGCTTCTGGCCCATTCGAAAACCACTGCGCCGCCGTGAGGAGTCCGCAACAAAATGGCCAGAAAGATTCTTGAAACGACTTGAAGCCATATAAACATGTACGAAATATCTAGAAATATGATATGGGTTTTAATATGCTTGAACCCACTTGAATATCCATCGGAATGTGTTTTGAAGTCTTTCAACCACTTGAATCCCCCGAAAATGGTGATGTTCTTGATGTTTGCTTGGATTCAAATGATTTAAACATGGTGGGTTTGCCAAGATCGTCCTGTTTTTCTGGTGTCGTACAATGACCTTCAAGGATTGTAGAATTCACATCAGGAGGGTTGTGACCTCCCTGCCTTTTGATTTCCCAGTTTTGCAAGAAATTCGAGTGAAATTGCTATGTTCAAAATCGGTACAACCCTAGATATTCGATGAATTTCTGGTTGATTTCGTAGGTTTGCGATGTGTTCTTCGGATGTGATTTGATTGCTGTATTAGTGATATTAGTGTTCATAGTGGCAGCAGCCAAAGAATGTCTCGAACATGAACACTTTATGCCTTGTAATGCTCCAGGCACGAGATAGTGGCAACCCTGACTACCTGCTAGTTACTGGAGACCCACATGATGTTCAATGTTTGTAGAGGCATTCAATATATTTAAATCAGATAGATGTTCCAATATGTTTCAATTGAGAATGCTACCCATGCTACCCATCCCATTATATTAGATACATTGGGGCATACAATATCTGAAGATTGCTGAATATGGCCCATACAATTTGTCTGTGTTTTGTGGAGAAAGCCCTGTGAAGGACATTTTGTTCAGCAGGGGGCCATCAAAGATCAGCCAGGAACACAGTTATTGCCAATAATTTGTTAATACTACAGTCATACCCCCACCAGACCATACCAGATCCCCATTTAATGGGCAGGGGTTACTGTATCATTTCCATTTGGATAATCCTGCGGCGGGTTTCCCCAAAATTTGCCGGATCATTAAATGTGCGTGTTTTTTATTCAATATATACAGTATATATACATTATACATGCAGTCAGTATAATATATATATATACACTATATATACTATATATTTATTTATTTATTTACGCCCCTCCATATTTATTCCCCTTCCAGATCCCCAGTTTCTTGTTGTGCTTTCACGGGTGTCACAGCAACCACCTGCACCGTGCGTCCCAGGAGTCACAAGTCACGCCGGACCCACCTGCACGACCCAAGAGGGACCGAGCTCCTCATAGCTGGTGGCGCCACCGTCCATGATATATGACTTGAATTCAACAAGGGCATAGCTGGATGTGGCTGGCCCAGAGCAAATGTACATAAATGATCATAAATGTACATTCCAATGACTGTACATCATTGTACATCATCAAATCTTGGATCCTAAAAATTTTATTCCTGCTGGTGTCTTGGACACAGACCCAGTTGGTGGAACCCACCACCATATATCACCAACAGCTCATAAGATCGCAGGGAACGCAGCTTCAGGAAACGGAACCTCTCCTGGGATGGGTCTTCCCACTTATCCAGGTTAGCATGTAATGTAATGTCGTCAAAGGGTGGATGTTCCAATTTGGGCTGATAATATCAGTCTTCATCAACTAGGATGACTTCACTCATGACCAGGGCTCCCCTGTAGACTTTCCAGGAATGGGACTCTCCCGGTCAGAAACGTGCGCGGAAGCAGCGGCAGGGCTGGGAGGCTCCGGCAGATCTTGGCAGTTTTGGGACACCACCAACTTCCAACAATCATCAACAAAGGGATTAAACATGGCTCGCCTCAGGGCGATTTGGGTGACATGCACCGGCACTCTTTCCTTGGAGCAGAAGGTTCCATTCAAGTATGAGTCCAGCCATTGGGTGAGGATCATACCAGAAACTAGCTATTGGGTGTGGACACTAACCCCGATTTGTAGACGGTGCTCGCTCCAGATAGGACATGGCAATCAAACCATGGCTGTTGTGTCAAACCTTTGCTCTACATCATTTCAGTTTCGCTGGTGCTCCGCTTGATAGGGGCTGTTCGGTATTATTCAGTGCGCTAGCTTAGATGAGGTTGCCAATGGAACAATACACCTTCTATTTATGGGGGTTTCCATCAATGGTGGTATATACCCCCAACAAATGGATGGATCATCATGGAAAATCCATCCATAAATGGATGGATTTTGGAGGTACCCCCATGACTGGATGGAAGTTCCCCAGAGGTGACCCCGGTGGCCCGAAGTGGCGTGGCTGTTGTTGCTTCCCCTCCGATGTTTTGACCCTGAGTCGGCCATGACACTGCTTGCTGGTTTGCAACATTAATTTTTATATACCAGCAGTACCGCACAAGGCGGTGGCGGAAGTTTCCAAAATAGGAAACCTATAGGAGAGCTTGGTTGTTGTGAATCAGGGATGGCAAAGCGAAGCCACTGATGCACCGAAAGGTGATTGATCTCTCTCACTATTTCTCTCTCTTTCTCTGACTATCTACTTACCTACCTACCTACCTACCTATCTATCTATCTATCTATCGATCTCTCTCTCTCTCTCTCTCTGTGTCTGTCTATCTATCTATCTATCTGTCTGTCTGTCTGTCTGTCTGTCTATCTATCTACCTATCTATCTATCTATCTGTCTATCTCTCCATCTATCGATCTATTGTTGTTGTTGTTGTTGTTGCTGTTGCTGTTGTTGTTGTTGTTGCTGTTGTTGTTGTAGCTGTTGTAGTTCTAGTTGTAGCTGTAGTTGTTGTGTAGTTGTTGTAGTTGTAGTTGCAGTTGCAGTTGTAGTAGTAGTAGTCGTCGTCGTCGTCGTCGTAGTAGTAGTAGGAGTAGTAGTAGTAGTAGTACTAGCTAGTAGTACTAGTAGTTGTTGTTGTTGTTGTTGCTGTTGTCGTCGAAGTTAGGGTAGTTAAGTTAGTGAAGTTACTTAAGTTAGTCAAGTTGGTTAAGTTAATCAGTGTCTACTTTTTCGACATCAGCACGTCAAAAAAGGCTCAAAACCCTCACTTTTTTTACGCTTTTGACTTCCAAATGTGCTTCGCGCCACAACGGCGTGCACTTTTTCGACACTTTTTCGACATCTGAACCTCCAAAAGTGGTCCGAGACCGTCAGTTTTTAACACTTTTGACTTGAAAATGGGCTTCGCGCCACAACGGCGTGCACTTTTTCGACATCGCAACCTCCAAAAGTGGTCCGAACCCCTGGTGTTTTGTACATTTTGACTTGGAAATGTGCTTCGCGCCACAACGGCGTGCACTTTTTCGACATCTCAACTTCCAAAAGTGGTCCGGACCTGGTGTGTTTTGTACCTTTTGACTTGGAAATGTGCTTCGCGCCACAACGGCGTGCACTTTTTCAACATCTTAACTTCCAAAAGTGGTCCGAGCATGGTGTGTTTTGTACATTTTGACTTGGAAATGTGCTTCGCGCCACAACGGCGTGCACTTTTTCAACATCTTAACTTCCAAAAGTGGTCCGAGCATGGTGTGTTTTGTACATTTTGACTTGGAAATGTGCTTCGCGCCACAACGGCGTGCAACTTTTCATCTCTCATCTGGCCAGCTGGCTCCGCACCCGCCGCTTTAGCGAGCCTACTTTTCGACTCTCCGGAGCCACAAATCATTGGAAAAACACAGTGTTTCGCGACTTTCCTACCTTTTCGCGCATCTGCATCTTCTTTCTTCTGACTCTTTCTCTTCTACTCTTCTCTCTTCTAATCTTTCTCTTCTCTCTGCCTCTGCCCTGCTCTGCTTTTCATCTGTCCATATTGTCGGAAGTTTGACTTCTAAACTTCCTTCGATTAGTAGGGATATATTGATATGATACATATATACAGTATATAGTATAATATATATATATAATATTTATATATACAGTATAATATATATATATATTATGGTTGGTGGTTTGGAACATTTTCCCATATATTGGGAATAATGATCCCAACTGACGAACTCCATCATTTTTCAGAGGGGTAGGTTGAAACCACCAACCAGTGACAGTTCATCAGGCTAGCTTCTGTTTCAGCAGAGATGGGTAGTTCATATAATTCCATATCTGTGGGCTAAATCCATTTAAATCACCATGAAAGTATGAGTATGACTCAAGTTCTTGTACCTCCAAAAGAAAATGTATATGTACCATGGGGATCCACACTGAGATGAGCGTTTTTTCCGGGATGGTATGGGTGTTGTTTATTTCCTAAGTCTCAGGTTTCCGTGTTTTCCATCTCGTTTGGGGGTGGTGAAGGCGATCCACATTTGGATCATAAGGCCATGCCGCATGCCATAGCCAACAACTCACGACATATCCGCCAAGAAGGGGTTTCAATGGTGTTTCAAAGAAATAGCTCAGGGCAAACTGAAGAGGAAAGTTTATGACGGCCCAATCCTGAAACATCTTGAAAGCGCTTCAGAGCTAATCATATTTGCTGACTGCATGCACATTTGCTGCTGGTTAAGTTTACGCGCATCAAAAGAAAAGCATCAACTGTTTCCTCCAGGTTTTGGAGGAAGATGGTGTGCAGTGGTTGCACATTGGCAACGGCTGGCTACCGCCCATGGTGGAGGTGCCATTTCTGAAGGGCACCCCAAAAAACCCCAAGGACTACCCTCCAGTAATCAAATATGGCCGGCTCGGAAATCTATAAATTGGCATGGGAAGATGGGAAAATCCGTTGCAATTTGGGAATTCCATTGCCATGTTATGGGCTATGTTTGATTGCTCGTTAGACCGGATCGATGGAACTGATCAAGGGAGCTTTGTTGGTGGCTTGGGGCTTAAGTGAAGATGCCATACCCAGAGCCTCAATCTCGATCCGTCGAACTGTGAAAATGTTACATTATGCTGTTTACTTGAAGACCTAATAAACGGTAATGAAAAGCAATTTATGGTTTATATATATATATATAGTTGCAAGGATTTAGTGGCCCAGTAAAGAATATAGTTCCTGCTCCTGACATCCAAGTGATGTTGAAGGGAACTGCAGGCAGAAGAACTATGAACATCCAGTGGGGAAGCCTTGGATGGATAGTCTCTTCCCAAATACTCTGGTTTTGAGTACTTAAATGATCTTAAATGTGAAAACAAATATATACTTTAACATAGTGTATATAACATAGTTTAAACCAATTTTCCCCAGCTCTTTGAAAGTTTCTGTCCAGAATTCCACTTTCAATCCCAGCCCAATGAGGTGCCCCTGCACTTGCAGATTGGGGACAGGGAGTTCAGGACAGCTGGGGGAAAAGTTGGCTATAATTTGGGCGGTACATGTGCTTTTTCTATCTTTTTCTTTGTAGAATCTGTGGAATATGTAGAACATGTAACTCATGTAACATATCAATTTCATTGAAACCCCCTCAGTCCTCAGTCTGTAAGAACGCGGACACGTTCCAGGAGACTGGTGAAGCCGCCCACAGTGGAAGCCCTCTGGGAGTGGTATGAGGACGGCAGGGTCCCAAAGCCAGTGGCTTTTGAAGGATGAATCCCTGAAAACCAGCAAAATTCCATAGCTTTGTTTCGCAAGGCCCAGAAAGATTGAAAATGAAAAGTGAAATCCTAGTATACAATGGTGTTTTTGTTTGCTGTTCTATTTTTGTGGGGATGATGATTCCCGTTGATTAATGTAATATAGCAATATGTCTGTATATAAACACACATACATATATTTATTATAGATATTTCAAGATACGTATGTTTATGGGGGTGGCTCACCACCCACCGGATAAGTTTCTTACATTTTTGCAGATCAGCTGACCTCGACGTCATCTTTACATGTCGGGGGCTGCTTGTTCTTTGGAGATGGTGGGTAAAAGGACACGATCCGACATTGCAATCCTTGAGCCATGTCATTTCTGTTGAGAAGATCTCGGCTTTGGATGGTAAATATCCCTTGATGGGTAATTTGACCACTTGTTCCGAATTCCCAAGTTCGTTCTGTGGAACCTTCCTCAGCCATTTTCCATCATTTTCCCCAATGAGTCGCAGTCGCAGCCGTTCTCCCCATTCCGCGCTGGAATCCTATGAGTCCTGGCTGACGGCGCGCGGCGTGTGGTGGGATGATCGCTTACGGCTGCAACACCTGGGAGCCAGTGGCTGGGGCTTGACCTGCAGCAAGCGTATTGAAAAAGGCGAAAAGGCAGGGGATGGTGGGCCCATGGTGGCTGGAGTTCTTTGAAGTGGAAATCTTTGGAACATCCAGACAAGTGAGGTTTGGAACATCAAATATTCAAGTGATAAAAGGACTTGAAAAGTGGTGATGTTCATTGTCAGCAGCGAAAAGTCCCGAGTTTCGCCACTGATGTCCTTTTTTGGGGGATTTTCCTATGAAAACGTTCGTTTCGTTCGGGGATGTTCCATGATAGTCCCATTTCCATGCTTGATGACCGGAGGGTACACAAGATCACCCCGCAGGTCATCCGTGTCCCACGAGCAGCTGCCCTGACCAGCAGCACAGCTGTGGATGGCCAATCGGCTGAAGAGTTGTTGCAGCCCTTGGAAGACCTGGCGAAATTTGATGAAACGCGAGATTCGCAGCTGCCACTGGTGATCTCTTTCCTGCTGGCAGATGCTGGGACTTCTGTGCTGTTTTTGAGATTCTTCTGTGGCGTTTTTTTCCCTGAAGGTGTGGTGTTTGTTGTTTGTTTTTTTAACCAGGCAATCTTGCCTGAAACCTTGCTCTTGCCTGAAACCTTGCTTGCTGAAATGTCCGTAAATCATAGATACCATCCTTAAACCACCCAATGATTTCTCTCAATCTCACTACAACGTCACTAGATGATTGTGATTGGCTTAACTATCCGAAATAAGCTCATTTCAGCCTTTAAAGTATTATATCGTGGGTTTTTCAAATTCACCCAGGTTGTTCGGAAAAAAACAACACAACCTCATTCTTCCAATTTTCCATGTCAGGATGCTTCAAGCCTATGGAAAATTCCCCATGTTTCATAGCTTCAACGGCCCACCATGGTCCACCTCCCAGGACGCTTCCTGGCGACCCAAGCTCCGCGTGACGCCCTCCCGGCTGGAGCTCCCTTGGTCCTGGCCTTCGCCGGCGCTGGAGGGAACCGAGCTACAGCTGGTGGTGGCGGCCAAGCGGCGGCGCCTGGCGTGGGAGCTGCAACGCCTGGAGACGGTGATGCCCGGGAGGCGTGGCCCGGGGTTGGGGATAGCGGTGATCTGAATGGAAAATGATGGTTTTTGTTTAATGGTTTTTTGTTCATGATTTTTGGGGAGGGATAGAGTTATAGATGGGCATGGTCCACTCTCTCTTTGTGTTTGATGTTTTTGGGAGGATGTTCGTTCACATTTGGATGAGCTGTTTGGGATGCAGCTGCTTGGTGAAATCCTTTCTTGACCCTGGCATAGGATCACCTTGGATCAGTACACCAGTGCCTGTGCTGTGATCATGTCGCGCATTCAGCCCTGGTGGGGTGGCAGCTTGGTTCCCTTCGTCGACCAGGCCAACCACAGCAAGGAGCCGCATCTGGAGTTTCGGCTTTCGAAAGGGCAGGTAGAAGGCCGGGCTTTGAGGGTCATTGAGCCCGGGGAGGTATTCCAATCCTATGGGAACCTCTCAACGGCAGATTCCTTGTACAGTTCCTTGAACAAATATTATGGATGGCATGTTTTTTTGCCCGAATCGTAGGCGGTGCAAAATCCTGACTTCCATGTCCGCCCTCAAAAAAAAACTTACACCCCAAAAAATGCCCCCTACGGAAAAGAAAAAAAACAGACCTAGACAACGTGCTCCAGGACCTTGAAGATCTCGAAGTTTGCTCTACCCCAGTCTTCCGGATCCACCTCCCCAGCCGAGGATATGGTTTCGCCTCAGCAGCCACCAGAGCCTCTGAGATCCGGGTCTCCTTTGAGGATGTGGTGACCGTGACCCTCTCTGACCTGGCAGCGGTGGATAACGTGTTCCTGGCCAGAGCTCAAAAGCTGAAGACCTTGGAGTTCTTGGATGAAAGTCCTTGGGATGGCGTGGAGGACAGGGAGAAATCCACAGATTTCTTGAGTATGCCCAAAGTTTCTTAGTAAAAGTCTTCATTTGTTGTAACAATTTAATTTATATGTGTTTCCTGCACCTTGAAATTGATAGATTGAAATTGGATAAACATGGATAAACCATGGTCTTGAGTTCAATCTCTGCCCCGGAGAGATGATTTAAAAAAAACATTTATTTAATTTTTACTAAATTGATATGTTGTTGATATAATTTCTGGGTGAGTCCTCCCAAAAAAAAGAGTAGACTAAAACGGACACCATAAATTGCCTAGTCGATCCTAGTTTAAGACTCTTAGAGGGCCCCCAGCTATAAGTTGGATAAAACCCATCTAAGATCTAACTATATATATATATACAACTATAGATATACCATAAAACCCTATACTTCTAAGTTCTATATAAACCAACATTAGGATAACAACCTGTGGCACCAGACATAGGAGCTGGGTCTGGAGCTCTCATTGAGTCGTCGGCCCAAGTTGGCCGCGGGCGGAATCAAAGGCCTCCGACGCCTCTGGGTGCTCTGTCGCTGCATGGCTCTCGAGGAGGCACAGTGGCAGGCAGCCCTCACAGGACCGAAGCCCAGGGAGGCGTTGGGGGCCTTGGGGGTGGCGGCAGAACCAGGTGGGGAACGGGGAAAATGGCCAGGGATGGGTGGTTTTACCAAGTTTTCTGAGCATGGAAAATGATGAAAGCGGGGGTGCTCACCAGAAGAAATGCCACCGATTTGGGGCTCAAATTTCTCATTTCATGGGGAACCGCCCTAACTTACAAGCATTCGACCCCCACCCAGCATTTTGAATGGGAACTACCTGCAAAAGATTCCGGGATGCATCCTCAAATGTTTCATGCCATTTCTGGGGGTTGACTTAATTAGCCCTCAGAGTGCTTTCTCCAAGTTGAAAACTGCTTGATTTTTGCCGATCAAGGATTCACATATAGCACTGAAAGTGGCGCAAAAACAACATACTTTTGGATGGAAGAAATCCTGCACCAGCTGGTAGATGGTTTATCCCATTATACCCCATTATTTACCGTGTGTCGTAGTTACCGAATAGTTACCGAGTAGTATGAATAGTGTTGCCAAGTGATGCAGGATTTTGTGCACACCCTGAGGTGTTGGTTGGGAACCAGGCGCCTCAGCCCTGCAACTGTCCCTCCGCAGTCTCGAAGTCCGCAGCCGGCGCCTCGGGAGCCTGGAGGACGAGGTGCGCCGCTACGACGCAGCCGTGGCTGCGCAGGTGGAAGGCATCCAGCTGGGACTGCAGAGGCTGCGGGTGGTGGAAGCCAAACTCTTGCAGCGAGTTGTGAGTGACTGGCTGGTGCTTGTTCACATAGGTTTTTTTTCTCCAAGTTATTGCACTATAGAGAATAGGGACGATGAACCATTGGATTTTGTGGCGCCCAACTTTTTGGGCAAACCCAGATAGATTCGATGATTTCGGATACCCAAATACTTGAATGCAGAATACGTATTTGTGGGATTTCTTCATCCTTAAGTCACAAGTGTTTATATAACTCCTCCGAAGCATCCCCAAACATGGGATGTTCTCCCAGATGGCCCACCCAGGCTATGTTCGTGGAAAGCTGCAAGAGCTCCAGGGTCCTGCAGGATAAAACGAGACCAGCCATGAAGATGCTGGAGCTGTTCTTGCAGCCCTTCCTTTTTTGGGAACTGGGCAGCTTGGATTTCAACTGCTTGATGTCGAAGGTGAAGAACTTTGTGATCTTGTCAATTGTCTTGGAGGATGCCAGGGTGCTGCCAAGAAACTCCTTATAGTCGCTGCGGCCATGCAAGGATCCAGGCAAAAAGTGTCCAAGGATTTTTTCATTCCATGACTACTACTGAGCCAGGGTGGACCTTGCTTCCCAGAAAGCATGAGCATCAAAGAATCAGCCAAAGTAGCTGAAGGGCAGCATCGCAGAGCCCCGAAAACAAAGGGCTGAGATATGCTGATATATATATATATATAGACTGGTTGGTGGTTTGGAACATTTTTTACTTTTCCATATATTGGGAATGTCATCATCCCAACTGACTTTCATATTTTTCAGAGGGGTTGAAACCACCAAGCAGTATCTATCATACTATATATCTATACGTTGTTGTTTTTCTGAAAAGAATAGGCGCCCCCAAGATCCAATCGCAACCATCATCGAAAAATCCCCGAATTTCACAACCATCAAGTCCTGACGGAATGATGTTGGAACATACCCAGCCCTGGTATATTTGCCAAATATCATCTATATAGGTTGGGTGGTTGCAGGAGGTGAATGCATGATATAATTACACATATGCATATATACACATATATATATGTGTGTGTGTGTGCATCTATTTATTTATTTGTTAAATAAAAAAGAACCTCTATTTATGATTTAAAAATAAGATAGAAGTACAAGCAGCCAGCACAATGGATGACACACACTCTCGGTCATTCCAACCCTTGCTTCCAGGAGCATGGCAAGGCATCTTCGGACCCATCCTGGGCGCAGGCCGCGGCCAGAGTAAGAAGAAAGGCAAGACATGACAAGACCACAGTTGCATTTGTTGCTACAGTTGCATTTGTTGCTGTATTTGGGCACTTCCTCGTTTGGTTCTTTCATCATTTTAATCGCCGTGCTTTGATTTGTTTCCAGGTTGAGGTTATACGAGCGATATGTTGGCCACGCCCTTCTGAAGTGCTAGCATGTACTACCAACATGATCTTTGTCCTGGTGGTCACGCCAGTGGGTTCCGGATACGCATATAGATGCTTTGCAAAGTTGCATCAGCCTGATGTACCCCCAAGAATTCGCCAATTTCTTCCCAAGTGTTCTCCTCGTGTTTCCATGTGTTTGCTCAAATGTTCTCATTTTTTGCAGATGTATCTCGATGTTCCACATATATTGACCTCATTGGCCCAATTTTCTCATATTTCTTTCCATATTATTTACATAACATATATATATATATATTCATGTGCGTGTATGCAGTATGCATAACATGGTTTTTCGATATGTTCGATAGTTTTCTATATGTTTTCCAATGTGTTTTCACCATTTTTTCCAGTTTCGCCCTTTCGCCTCCAGGTGTGGCCCTGCTGCGCGGCGCTGGCGCAACATGTAGCGACGCACCCGGAGCTGGTTCGGCGGCGCCGGGTCTTCGAGCCGCTTGTATACATATATAATGGGAAAGGAGATATTTGACCAACCAAAGATTGGATTTGTTTAAGGGATTTAATAGGGGTTTGGAATTTGATTTTGGGGATCTGTAATCTGATGAGATCAGACAATATTTTTTCCCCTCAGAAAAACCATCAACAAACGGAATTGTTGGGGAATTCTTGGGATATGTTTGGGTCCAACATCATGATTGGTTGATATATATATATATATAAATGTGTGTGTATGTATATATATATATACATAACCAACTGAGAATAGGGAGATTTGGCAACCATCATCAGGAATAGTTTCTTAAAACCAAAATCTATGACTATGTAGGTGTATCTAAAACTGGGGCGTACCTCCAAATTAGGATATTTGTTGCAGGGAACATGATAGTTAACCTGTGGCTGCGGGTTTTTGGGTACCTATTTCCAGACAAACCCGTTTGGTATGCAACTTGCAGCAACCCATATACTGTAGCAACCCCGTAGTCCCATAGTAAGATGTAGATAATTGGTACTAAAATTGAGCCACGCTTTGAGTAGATTTGACCAAACTCCAATTTTTTTCAGGAGTGATAAAGCAACCATTAACCCATTTTTAAAGGGTAGCGCCCCTGCACTTGTGATTTAAGGTTGTGTACTGAGTTTACGAACCATGTGAAACCTCATGTTTGATGATGATGGTTTAAAGTCTTTATCAAACATATGTTCGGGAAACTAAGCTCCCAAAACTCCTCCAACAGATGCCAAGGGTTCATTTTGGTTAGTCAAACCTCTTCCCTTCAACGTTTTGAAACGATTTCCCAGGCTGGGCGCTGGCTTGGGCGTGCCGAGCATCGCAGCCGCCCTGGCGGGAGCTCGAGATGTTCTGCTGCTGGTCCCTTGGATGGGATGCTGATGAACAACCAGAAATCCCGGCGATTTTGGGACAGAAAACAGCCAGAAAGATGAAAAAAAAACGAAAATTCCATGGGAAAACCCACTGGTTTTGATGTATTGTCATTTTTTTGTCGAGAAATGGGATGAACCGTTTTCTCTTAAGGCCTGGAGGTATGGAGATGATTGGGGAGTTCTACTTCAATGATATCTCTGAGTCTCGTTAGTGGGTCGAAAATCCACCATACCATATCTGATATATCTGCATTTGGATGATTGTTGTTGGATGGTTCATGTATTTGCCTTTTGCTTTTCAAGCACTACCAGGACCATACTGTTGAATTCTCATTTTGATCTGGTGTATACCCCTTCTGTTTCTGTTTCTGTTTGGCTGCTTAAACCTCCATGGTAATTTGCGACGTAGCTATGGTATAAATGGCCCATTTATAGATATTTATAAAATTTTATGAATATTTATAGATGATTCATGGTGATTTTCCATGTTTTTCATGGGGGTGTGGTACCTTTCCTCCCTGGTCACCCCTTTTCCAAAAAAGGACCGAGAGCCCTTGGCTCTGCACTGTGCGGCCTCAACGGCTGCGGTGCACAATCTACCAGCCTGCGGACCTAGAGCAGTGGTGGGTAGGATGTCAGGATGTTAGGATGTTAGGATACAATGCTATTGGTCACTTTGAGATATTTTGAGCAGTTAGTGATCCAATGGTTTTGTCATTCTGTGAAGTTCAAAGTGATTTGAAGTGGCTTTGTCGCAATGGAACCGCAATCGCGGACACTTCTTTACTGCTCAGCCACGTTGAATCGTGTTGTTTGAAAAGTTTCGGCTCACGACATGCCAGATTTGGGATCCAAATGTTGCATCCATTACTTGGGGATCTCCGATTTAGATCAATTTTGCAAGTTGTGTATTTCTTCTCCAGTATTCACCACAACATTCCAGAACCACGGTCCAATTGTTTACTTTGTTTCCTGCATCCAATCATCTGAGCTCGACCCGTAGCATTCTGGTAGCAATGAATTCAAGAATTCGAACGTGAGCTACCAGTGCTACCAGTGCTTGTTTTGACTTTTTTTTGATGGGTTGATGATGGGTTGATGGGTATTTAACATGTGTCGCTCAGCTGTTGTACCCATCCAGGTTGCCTCCGTGAATGACGAAAGCGCTGCAGATAACGCCGTGCGCCAGGGTTGGATGTGGGGGAACCGGTCCAAGCCCTGCCAACTGAGATTTGGATCGAATTGCAGATTGTCACTTCGTGATTTGAGTGTCACGTAGTTGATTGATGTTGGTATAAACATATATAAGTATATATATGACATCAATAACAACATCATCAACTATACGACATAAAACTGTTATTATTATACTATATGGCGTTATTTAATTATTTGGTATACCAACATAATTATGGGGGTAGATGTGTGTAGGTTAAATACGTGGCCCATGAAATTTATGATCAGAAAACTCTGTCATCTTACCATTGGGCTGCACAGGTACGTGCAGCCGTCTATGATTGGGCGGAACCGCAGAACTTCAACGTGCGAGCTGAGGTTCACTGCTTGCAGGGCCTCACACTCTGACTCTTTGAGAATTAGTGTCAACCCCAGCAGATACTCACTCTATACATATATATATATATACATATATATATATACATATATATATATACTAATATATATATATAATGTTATGTATACTACATAATAAAAACTTTATTATGTATACTATATTGTGTATACTATATTATGTCTATTATAGACTGTATTGTATGTATGGATTATATATATATAATAAATTGTGTATTATATATATATATGTATTTGGGGGTACCCCAATGATTCCCAATGGCCAGGGTTGTTGACATTACAAAGGGCAGTTCCTGTGACATAAGGTGAGATGTTCTCTTTTTTACTGTGTAAAAGCCACCTCATCCAGTCCAGTTTTGTGACCATAGGTGTCCTGTCGCGTTTGAAACAGACGCACATAGGAACCTATGACAACAGTCGGATAAACTTCTCACTGGAATTGCTTTACACAATTTCATGGGTTTTGGGGGGGGTGCAGCAATTTGTTCAGTAATTTGCTGCGTTTTGTAGATGTTGTTTTGTTTTGGGCAGTTTTTCTCTGGACGCCCTAGTATACTTAGTATACATCTCAAAAACAACATCAGTTCCCAACAAAAACCATCAGTTCCCAGCCATGTTCACAATGCCACATGCTGCATTTTTTTCGTTAGGGACGATGATGAAGGAATTTACCAAAACGGAGCCCCAACATCGACATCGTTCGACACGCTCAACAGGTGGTCCTGGCCTCGGAAGTGCTCTACGACTGCCGCGAGGCGCAGGACGTGGCCGTGGCCGCGCTGCGGCTCATGGGCGGTGGACAGGCGCCGGTGGATGCGGGGGAAGTGCTAGAGATCTGGGTGGCCAAAGTTTTCTTCTTTGTATTATGTGTTTACTATATAATTGCTATGGCTATTGGTGTTGTGATTCAGTTATGATGTTTTGTTCTATGTTTTTGTTTGAGGCTGTGTTATTATTGTTTTGTTAATGACTATGGCTATTGCCTATTATTACTAGATATTATTTGACTACATGCTTACCATAGTTACATATAGTTACCATAGTTTTGATCGCCACTTGTGTTGATGGGTGCTTTATCATCATTTCTGTTGTTGTTGTTGTTGTTGTTGTGGTGGTGGTGGTGGTGGTGGTGGGTGGAACGTGTTGGTGAATTCACGTGGGTTTGGGTTTGAAAGGCGAAAGGTGTTTCAAACGATGGAGGATGATGGTCCCAAAGTATCCCAAAGTGACGTTGTGTGCACAGCCAGGCACAGGTCCACTTCACGCATTAATATTGGATATCCCAATGTTATGATAGCTATTATCACTGGATAGACTGGACCCCCATCCATGTCAGAGACCCTATCATTGGATATCCCAATGTCCAGCAACTAAGGCATCTGCTCTTTTGGGCCCAGTTTGAAGGGATGTTTGGGTATCTATGCATTTGAAATGAGTCACAATAGTCACATGCGAAAACCTATGCCTTAGACGGGCCCAAGAATCTTGGCAGCGTTGGTGCCAGGGCCGGGTGCTCATTGCGGACCCCAGGAGCTCGGCAGTCATCGTTGCTGGGTAGGAACATCAGTCAGACAGCTTACATCAGGACCTGTACACGACTGGACTTAGTGAATTTGCATGATTTTACATCACTAGTTGACTAGTGACTAGTGATTCTGAGTTATTTTTTTCAGGGGCATGCTCACATGGTAGGTGTTTGATCCGTCGGGAAATCAAACATCCCATCTCACTGAGTCAATGAGAGCTTAAGAGCGAAGGAGCCAACAAAAATCAACAAAAGCTAAGTCTATGATTTAGTCTAAGTATGTCTAAGTTGTCAACATTTTCAAATGGCTAAGCACATCGAAGCACTCAACGACCAATGACGCACGCATTTCTCACATTTTTCCCGCAGCGTGAAACGCGGGTGGTCCGAGCCCACGGGGGGTCCAAAGGGGCGTCCGGCTGGGGGAGCCGATGGCGCGGAAACCGCAGACCTATGGCATCTTGGATGAATTTATCCTTATAAGGGAAACTGAAAAAATGCGGAAAAACCATGGTTTCGCTAGGAACATGATCTAAAAATGGTGGGTGTGGGAACATCTATGTCAGTTGCTGGAGGGTATGTTTTTGGATATTTTGGCTGGCTGATAGTTTCAATACCATTCGAAAATGGTAGGAATCTGCCATTTGGCATTGTGGTTTCATTGATCTGCCTATCTAGGATATGTAGTTTACAATTTATGATATTTGAGTTTTGGGTAGATTGACTGGCTGACGCCAGGCCAACGGTTTCATTGTTGGTCGCTTTGATGGCTTGTGGCTTTCAAGATCTTTTTTTTGCTCCTCTTTGTGGGGGCTGAATGGTGGTTGGCCCCCGAAAAGTTGGGTGATTTGTGCAGAGGAAATGTTAGGAACCCCCTTCAAGCAAGCCGTCAAGTACTTACCAACCCCCTTGATGTTGGGGTCCTTCAGATCAGCCCGATGCCTCCGATGCCACCAGGTAAGCTGTCGCAAGATGACGGCCTGAAACGCCGAAAGCAAAAGGCAGACTCCGACTCAGAGGCGACCCGGGTCCGATGGGTCCGATGGGTCCGATCCCTGAGGTGAGATCTGGGAAGCCCTGTCTGAATTTACAAGTTATAAACATTTGCCATGGATATCTGGGACATCATGAGGGGAAGCTGCACAATGCTATCTCCAATTAGATGATGTTCCGAGGAGCCATTCGAATGCGCAGTTCCAAATGCTGGAGATGCCCGTGTTACCAGTCTCTCCTTTTTCGTCAAACCGTTGCTGCTCATGGGACGCCAGGAAGTGGACGAGTCGCAGCTCTCTGAGCGAGAAAGGGCGAAGAAGAAGTGGGTGCGCTGCTTTTGCGCTGTGGGGATGGGATGGGGTCCATGGAAGCCTGGGCTATTAAAAAATGACTATAGTGGCATGAATAGCCTTTGGTAAACTGAGATAACTATGGAAAAGCCCAATGTTCATCAATGTTTAAGTTCGGCAAATCAACTAACTAAATGGCAATGTTCAATAAATGTGGGCAACCCAATGCCATAACCACCAGTGGGGGACGGCCCATAGCACCCCGTGGCCCCGTGAAAATGGTGATTTTGGGGGGTTACTGGATAAAATGTGAGGTCCGAAATATTCCGAAGCATTGGCAATGATCAACCATGTTGGAGGCTGCAATTCACATGATCGCAGACCTCAGTAGGTAAAAATGAAACATCCGATGCATGAAGACATGCAACCCTATACAGCCATACAGCATCATATTCATCCTACATCCTTGGCACATAAGCCATCCCCTAAGAAAATAGCTCCGGGAAGGTCCATTGCTGGGCAAAGGTGGTGCCCCATGGGACCCTGTCCCATGGTTTGTCCCCCAACATATTTAGATGTTTGAACCAACCAACCACCCCCTTATCAAATCCCAGTCTTTCATATCTCCCAGCTGGGCACCATCAAATTACTCCCAAAAAAAATATGCTTTCAGATGTTTGAAGAAAACACGACCAGCTTTTTGGGTGATGCCCCGTGTTTCAGCCATGCCCATTAGGGACCTTGAGAACCCTTCTCCCCAGGTGAAGCGCCTAAATTGGCTCTGGCGAAAGATGACCGCTGCCTTTTGGGTGAGCGCCGCTTGTGGCCTCATTTGGTACACCAACTTTTTCCGCACCCTGGCTGCAAGGGACAGTGGCGCCGTGGTCGGGATGATCCCCATTGACGTTAGTTGTTGAATGGAAGTGACACGCCCAGCTTGACACCGAAATCCATAAAGATCCAAACTGGACAAACATCAGATTGTACCTACAGAACCCTGGGGACCAAGAGGTTTTGATCAATCCGCCAGTGCAGACTTTGTTGGGCATGCTCGGTGTGAAGATGTTTGAGGTGTCAAAATGTCAGCATGCTCACCTGCCATCTGATGTCAATACGTTTGCACCTGCAGTCCGAAATCCAGCAGGCAGAGAGAGAGAGAGAGAGGGCGAGTGAGTGAGAGAGAGAGTAGTGCGACGATACATCGCACAACAATTCATCTGGAAAAGGTATACCGACCTCACAGTGCATCACTATAGATTATGATTAGATGATTGGCCTTCCGCCAATTTCCCCGTGTTTTATATAGCTGTCCGCATCGGTCCGTTCCCGTGTTGACTGGGGGCAGGCTGCAAGAAGAGAGGGGGTTTCTTGTTCAGCTTTGTGGATTAGTACAACTTATCAGGGTTTTTGGTTGTTATAATATGTTACCTAGTTCAGTTGAGATGTCACACTTAATTAGATATATACATACGCATTTACGCTGTTCTTCTTTGACCGTTAAATTTACGTGCTTGCAGGTAAGGACGTTAATTTGTACTCGACGACTATTACTTTTTTGATCAGGGGTTGAAAACGGTCGGAAAAAACCGTAGACAAACCGTGGACAAACCGTAGACAAACCGCAGAAAGGACATTTATTTCCGTAGAACGGACATTTATTTCCGTAGAACAACTACTAATTTCCGTAGAACCTAGGTAGCCAAAAACGCTTGAAAATTGGGTTTACAACCTGGTAACCTTCAGACTAGATATTGAATCAATAGCAAATAACTATCCAATTAATAGCCTTTGGCACCACACACGTTAATTTTACGTGCTTTGGAAGTGTAGGGTTTATGGGTTTATATGCCATATGCATTTTTAGTTGCATGTATCATTATATTTTACATATGCTTAAAACCATGTAGTTCTTGGCCAAGGAGTGATGTGGGAATCGCCCTTGGTTAACCGAACCTACTTCTACTTAGCTTTGGCCTGCCTGACCTTCAACATGACGATGCTGGCGTACTTGGCCATTTGGTGCACCAGCGTGCTGAAGATCGACGAGCCCTGGAAAACCAAGCACCCCAAGGCAGGCCCTGGGAAGGTGGGGGTATCCATGGTTGGGTAACTACATTGAACATCATTGAACTACCTTTTTTGGGCAGATGGTTTTTGAAGAGAGGTTGCTCATTGTTAGGACCAATGCAAAGCTGAGACCCGAGCAACATCCCATCCCCCAGGCAATTCCAGTCATGGCCATCGTGGGTTTCAGCAGCGTCGCCTGGTTGGATGGTTGCGAACTTGGGCTGGGGGAAGTATGGGGGTGAATGGTTGGTCGGTTGGTCACTGAATTTCATCCATTTCGATGGAGGAACACCATAGATTTTCTCAAAAAAAATCGAACCTGCAGGCAGGTTAGCTAAGGTTAGCCATGGAGTGTGGTTCCACAAAAGGCCAAGTGGAAACATCATCATATGGCAGCAGCAAACCGATATCTAAGTTGATGGTTCCTTTTTACCTTTTGGCAATCTACTGGTGACACAGCTATAGAAAATCGCATATGTTCTATCAGTCAATCACATATATATTATATAGATGGGTCATGCATGTTCATCCATTTTCCATATCAAAATGTCAAACTAGCGGAGGGATGCGGAGGGTACATCTTCATCTTTTTTCCTAGGTGTGGCTCTTCTTCTTCGCCTTTTGGCCAGTGTATCTTGACCACTCGTGGAGATGACACGTGACACGGGCACAGCGAATCCAAGTGGGGAACCATGGGGAAGATGTAGCCTAAATATGCCTGAAATATCCGAATCATTGAATCAAAGACCTCCGAAAAATCGAGAGTTTGAAAGGAAGCCTCAGCCTGACGATGCTTCAACCAGAAGAAGTATAGGAGTATGATGTATAGGCATTTAGATGTACAACTAGCCGACAGACAAGGTGATTCATCCTGATTGATTTGCTGAAACATGTGTCGTCGATCAAATTTCGGCTTTTCTGCGGTCACATTGCCATGATTTCCCATTTTTGTGGGAATGGGTTTTCTCCACCAGCCAGAAATGCGAATGGCATGTTTTTTCTGCCCAAGTTCCGTTTTTAATCGTCATGATTCCTTACATTAATTACAGCCCTATATTTTTTGGGAAAAGAACCACCAGCCCTTTTTTTTGTGGGCCGAGGTGGGGCCTCCTGACCCTAGTCATTCAGTTCGTCCTCTTCTTGGGCTTCGTTAGTGCAGGAACCCGCCGGGAAAAAAGGTGGGACGACGAAGATGTGGTCAGCAACGGATTGATTGACCCCAAGTTTGCTGGACATGTGTTGTGCATTTAAAATCAGAAGAGCTCGCTAAAATTGGAGGAAACTATAGTTTTGAGATGTTTTGAGGATCTTGTGTGCAAGAAACTATTGATTTGAGTTGACACCTTTCCGAACACCACGGTGTTTTTACCATCAAAGGTAGGAGAGCGGGGCATTTCTTAAAACAAATCTCTTGGTGTAGTCAAGGCTGTGACATTTAAATGATTGATCCTCCCATTTTAAGGTAACAACCTTCAATTTGACCTATAGCCATATGAGCTGTGGACAACCTTCAATGAAGACTGATTCTTAAGGTTTGTCTTGGTCATGTACTCCGGTGGTGGGAGATTGGTTGATGTTCAGTTGATGGATGAGTAACATCTTTGTCAATCAACTAGTCTGTGGGGTAGTTCCAGCTAGAACCAGTTTGAACTGGTCAGCTAGCATAGTACTTCCGAGACGAGCTGGATGTGGTTTCTTTCAGAAGCCGATGGCTGGTGGTTTCAAACGTGTTCGTTTTCAAACAGCTTTAGGATAAAGATCCGCCACACAAATGTTGGGGCGGATAAAGATCCACCAAGCAGCCGATGTGTCAACAAAAACTGAGGCCAAATTTGTTTTTTTTCCGATCCACATCTCTTGTGTTGCTCTGCGTCCGAGAGTGGATGACGAAGATTACGGTAGTAGTAATAGATTACGGTAATATTTGTCATATCTGTCGTATTGCCCATGAGAGATATCTCAGATCTATCTCGATTTCAGAAACCCAACCATCACGCAGTCATGCGTCCATCTCTTCATGGCCCAGGACACTTCCTACCGAGTGGCACGTCTCTTGGCATAGCCATGGTGCACTGGTGGTTTCGGGCATGATATGGAGGGCTAGCAAAAGGGGCATGAGGTCAATAGATTGGTCTAAGGGAAAGATTATAGGAAACCTCCATATGTCATGAGAAAATCTATGGTTTCCTGTAGATTTTACCTTAAGCCAATCCATTGATAATGCCATCAAAGGAACGGAGAAGCGCACCATTTGACAAATTTGACATGTGATATGTGCACGCTGTGATTCAGAATGATGCAGAAAAATGTCTTTCCGTGGTTTGATGCTCCATTTCACTACTCATCTACGTACAGTACCTATCATCCTATCTACATCCAATCATTGGATGTATTCTAGTTCAAGTTTGAGTGATGTTTTTACATCTATTTTCACGTGTTTTCTCGTCGATCCATTTGTCTACTAATATTCAATTGAATGTATATATATATATACATATAGTTGTCCTGTCTCACGTAAATTCGACGAGTGTAATTTGCCTCTAATGGCCCAATTTGCCATCACCCTACAACTTCTTGAAACACCTTCAGCGCACCATATCACACCTACTGGTCTGCATCTATCACTGCAAGTTTCTCACTCATAATTGGCCCACTGAAAGTTTTTTGTCGAAAGATGTTTTGCTATATGGTGTCTTAGCATCCAAAAAAAAGAAATGGATAGAAAATAATGGCAAAGTAAATTCCTGCTAAGATAGTGGGAAATCATGTGTTAATCGTTCTGGTCATTGCTATATTGAGTGATTGCCAACAAACAACTGAGTTATCAAGGCCCATCCCTGGCCTATTTTGGGGTCTCCCCGCAAAAATCAATAGAGGTTCCGGCCATGGCCGGCCTCGCATAAGCCAGGCTCGGAGCCATTCTGATGTTTGTCATCTTCTTCGGTGCTTTCTTCACCAGCGAGTTGATTCCACACGAAGGTTTGGCGCATTACACACCCCGCCCCAGCATGGTGGGTGAATGAGGCCGAGGTCGAGGTTGGGACCGGGGGTTGTGGGGAGAGAAAGGACACCAAAAGATCATGAGAACAACGGTACCGTACTAATTTGGAATGCGGATTGCTAAGAAAATCATGATTTGTTTATCCTGAGGTAAAATAAAATGCATAGATGTGGACAACCCATGGTTTCCCTTGGAAAATGATCTACACATGGTGGGACTGGATAATCTCGAGGGCCAGTCCCGGCCAGGATGCAGCCTCCAACGAGAAAGCCGAAAAAGCCCATGCGTGTACAGATGCGCACGCGCGGCTGTCCGTGGTCTCCAAGCTGCAAGGAATCACACCCTGATTCAAGATAGTTGATATTTGGAGCTTACGATGCATTTGATGCTACATTGGATGCACAGTGTGCAGTCGAGTTGATTCATGAATCCTTCAAGTGTATGGGTTCTTGTGCTTATTGATGCAGGGGTCAATGAACATGCTTCCACAACTTCCGTCCTAAAACAAATAGGAGACCAAAACCGCCAAAACATGCATGCAATGAATGCAGTGACCTGTTTCGGGACTTGAATTTCCATGGGGCCGGTGTGCCCCTCAAGATGGAGACGGCTCCCTAAATCACCTTTGACGCACCAGAAGTTGCGCGCGAAAAGGTCAGTGACTGGAAGGGTAACACGATATGAAACCACAACGAGTTCACCAAACATGGTAAAGAACAACAGATTGATCCAATAAGCCCACATGACACATGCCTCCAAGAAAGTTGTTGTTGTCGTTTTGTTTGGGGGGTTGCCAACAACAGCAAAATTGGAATAATTGTTTGGAGCATAGCTTCCAGCTTTCTAAGTCGATAGATCTCACGAGTTTCAGTCCCTTGTATTTTGCGAGTTCAATTGGTTGATCCAATTGATGCATTTCTTTTTCCTGCACCTTGCGGTGTTTTAATAATTTTTAATATAGGTGTGGAAAATTGATGAAAATTGTCCATGTATACTGTCGATGATTTTTGATTTACCTGTTAAAAGTTGTGATTTTACATAGCTATGTTATAACTAAATTACCAAGGGTATATATTCTGTGGAATTGTCTGAATGATCAACAAGTGAGCAGTTTTGAGGGACCCCCCATCTGGATGGTGTTGATTACAACTGGCAGACTTAATCCGACAGAGTAGTTAGTAACCCCAAGCAAATAGGTTGCCCAAAATATGATGCCCCTGCCCCAAGAGTCTGCGAGGATGTGCCATTCTTCTTGCTAATCCCATCCTTGTAATCCTATCCCCGGACCTATCCTTGTCATCCACGAATGGATGCTTCAAAACTGGGACCCGACAGGAAGGAGCGGCTGCCGGGCACCCGAGCTGCCTTGGCGCCTTGGCGCAGCAGTTTCGCCAGGCGAACTTCTGACTTCAACCCGCGATGGATTTAACATGGCTAATGGCCGCACATGTTTCGGATCAGTTCGGTTAGCGAGCATTTAGCCTAAACAATCCTTGAAGTTCTTTAATTATATAATACTTTAAGAAAACATCATATCATACTGCCTCTGGTAGTTTGACTCAAATTCATCATGGTCAATAGGCAACTCATCCATAAATTTCCAGAGGGTAAACCAGGGATTCGAAAGACGTTTTTCCCGTTTCCTGGTGAGTTCTCCCGCCAAGCACAGCCACATGTCACGTGAGGCGGGCGCAACGGTGGAGATCTACGAGGTTGCGGAGACGGCTGAGTTTGGGCCGGTGGATTGCGGAAAACCATGGAGTTGTGTGCTTTGCTCGGCTTTTTTGAATGGATTTCATGGATTTCTATGGATTCTTCGCCATCAAAATTACGGGTTCTATTATGTTCTTTTATACAAATAACCTTCAAGACCAGTCCAATGACACAGTGAGGAGAAGGGTGGAACAAAGAATTAGGTGAACTTTAGGGACCTCACGATGCGGTCGACCACGGGTGATTCTGACGCACGCTCAGGAAGCATAAGCCAGGACTTCGGTACATGAATGGGTAACAGCAAAACCTGTTAATCCGCACTCAAACATTGTTTTTTGAGTGTGTTGATTTAATTGTTCCACCCGTCGGGGTGCCATGCTCAAGACGCCAAGAACATCCAAGAAGTGGCTATGGCTCAAGAGAAGTTGGACTAGTTTCAGCTCACCCCCTCTCCCAATCACTCTCAGGAGAGACTTACCCCTGTAAACCAAGTACTATGTGGAAAACCCGCCATTTGCAGATCATTTTCCCAGGGAAACAATGGGTTTTCCACTTGTTTTTCTTGTTTACATGGGGGTGCCCTGGGCCAAAATGGATGTGCCGAATCTTGGAGGTTCCCACGCCCAACCTGGGGGAGGGCTTGGCGGACCAGGAGAATGTCGTTCGGAAACTTGATGAATGCAGGGGGGTCTGGCTGGTGTATAGGCGCATTCACCACAAGCTCGTGCCTGCCAGTTACAAGTTAAAAGCTGAGGTGAAAGCCATCTGCCTCTATATCTATATAATATATATATATACATATCTACAATAAACCCTAGGTTAAGAGCCTGATGGCAGGCAATAACTATCACAAAGAGACTAAGACGCCTGACGCCTAAAGTTTGGTGAGGTTGGAGCCAACCAATGGTTTTGTCAGGTAGCCTAAGTGCTTCAGAATTTTGGTGCTAAAAAAAAGCAATAAAATTGCCAGATCGGATGGAGTGAGCTACGTGCCCACACTTGGGGGGATTGCTTGAAGTTCCTTGGGGTTGGAACCAACAGATTCCATTCTTCATGCTGCATCCAAATCCTATTATGTAGTTTCGTATTGTATGAATGCGAACCCTTTCTGAACGGTTTGTGCAGGACACACTCCTAGAACCCGCAACAGCAAGCAGGAGGGCACGAACATTGCGAATTCTGCTACGATTTGGCTAGGAGTTTGCTCCATTTCGGGCTGGGTCAGAAACCAAGAACCCTAACAACCACTCTCTGGTAATCAAACATTGCACTGGAAATCTCCACTTATAGATGATGTTCCACTTCATAGTGGATTTGGCCCGCCATGTTGATGACACCGGGTAATCGGGATTCTTGGCACCCAGCCCTTGGTACTAAGGTCCTCATCGACGCATATTGGCCGCGATAAGGCTCTGTGAACCGCCCAGCACTTGGATGATCCCAACTGCTGTGGCGTGTCATGAGGGGACACTGCTGCTCGTAGTTCCAAACTAGCAAAATTGGGAAGATGGGGTGTGGTTTATTGGTTGTGTGTGTGTTTGCAGCATTGCCCGAATAGATGTTGAAGGGTTGGACACCTGCAGTGGAATGGATGATGCATGATGATGCGAACATCATGCACACTCACAGCATACTGGAAAATGGAAGTAAGAAAAAATAGTGGTAATCCTGGATGGATTTATGATTGGTTTAAACCAAATGGCCATTTTCCATCATTTTCCAGTATGCATTTGGTTTATCCTGGATTTTCGATTGCCCTTGAAGAACCCAGTGGCCAGGAACCTGCCAAGAAGTTGTGATGGGATGATGCAGCCGGAATGCAGCCAGCTGGTCACCAGTTACGGCTATGGAGCGCATCGGTGGCCAAAAAAGGGTTGGTTCAGCAAGGCATCCTTTGAAAACCGATGATGTGCAAAATACGCCTTGAAAGCTCTATATATGTGGAATCTCCAAGGTGAGTTTCGAACATGGATTTTCAATCCTGAGGTTCCTGGCTTGCGTGAAACTGGGTTCAGTTTGGGACTGCAACAGTCCCAAACCGCAAGATCTTGAAGGGAGGGGTTCATGTTTGATTTTAGACAGATATATATATATATATTCAATTATGTTCATATTATATAATGTTCAATATAGTGACCTTGAGACTGGGTTCCTGTTTGGATTGTGGTCTTGGCAGATGGGTCAAGGTATGTCAAGGTCGCAAGGTCGGAAAGCTGAGTGGTTGCCGTTCCTTGCTTCTTGCTTTAGGGATGGACCCAGTAGTTGCTGAACATGGCATTTCCAGGGCCTATCCTGCTGAGTGGCCGGAGCTCCTTTTTTGTGACGCATGGCATGACCTTGTTATGTAATCCATTCCCCATAATCAATATGAAAAACTCTTCCAAGAGCACTATCAGCAAAAATCGGACACAAGAAGTGTGAAGATCTCATCCACATATCAGCTTTGAAGAAGTCAACCACAATCTTTCAATCTTCAGCTCAAAAAGTACATCATCCTATCCATCTTTATCCATCAGCGCCTCTCAACCTTTCCCCAAATTCATCTTGACAACCCACCACGTATGGGGGGGTGTGGCAAAGAAAGCGCTGCCCTTGACATGTGCGAGTCAAGCTGCACAGCCCCGTAAATGGCGCGGTTCCTCGCCCTGTTGCCCCTCCTGGCTTTCCCCCTTTCGCTCGCTGACAGCTGCGAGTCCGACTGCGGAGCGAGCTCACCATCGGTGGATCTGCTGCAGCGGAAATTGCAGGTGAACAACTCCCTGTCACCGCAAAGCTCGCGGCCCAACTTGCTGTCACTCGGAGATGTTGGTGGACGTTTGGACCAAAAATGGGGCTGGAGAGCGGTGACAACACAGAGATTTGGATAAAAAATATGTGGTGGCGGTTGGCTTCAAAATGCCTCTGTCTCTGAGAAAATGTGGGGGAGAGGGAAGGGAGGTTCATCATTTGAAGCAAAAGCCACGAGGATGCATATCAAACCTTGTGCTTCCTAGTTACCACGACATATAAAGGAGCAGAGCATGGTTCCGAAAAAAACGTGTAACAAGGCCCATGGCGACAAGCCTCAATGCAGCGGTGCTCTGGATTACTTCATATTCACGGTTCCATTTCTATTTCACGGTTTCGGCCTCCAAATTCAAGGTTCCAATGGTCCAATTTCGATAGCTCGATGGATCCAAACACAGTTCCCATATGTTCCCATTATGTTCGATTACTGAGCTGGTTCCGTCGACCGGGGCGCTCCAGAGCCCAGCCACCTTCACCCCCCAGCAAACTAACATACTGTAGCTATGGCGATGGAGAGAGGGATGAAAGATCACCACAATAGGTTGGAACACCGTTCAAAACGTCCCCGGGAGGATACCAACTAGCTCAACTAGATGGTTGGCAACTGAGGTCATGTCAGATTTCGTTGTACTGCATATACACTAGCAATACAGACTGCATCACTATTCATAAGAGGCCACGACCTACTCATTTGGCCGATTTCAGTCATCCATGATCATTCTAGAGCTCTTTTTGGTTCAAATAAGATCCGCGATTTGTCAAAGCGACTTAACTTTGCGCCCGTCATGCGCAACTTCGTGGGCATGTTCTTGCTCTACATTTGCACTGTGCTTGCCTTGCGTCCCGAGCGTCTTGGGCTTCATAATCTTTCCCAGGCCATGATGGTCATGGGGATCTCAGAACCCCAGGAGGAACAAAAGTCTGTTAAGATGTTGGGAGAGCCTTTAGAATGGAGCCATTGAAAAACATGAAAAAATTGTACCGTTTGAACTTTTTTGGTGGTACCACCGTACCAGCCATGTGAAAAAAGCGGTGGTGACATTCATGGTGTCATGCTTTCGTACTGGGTTGACATGCTGGCAACCGACTCACAGAGTTGTCTTGTGCCGAGCAGGCTCCAAAAAGACGTCCTATTGTACCCTTCAGAAACTGACACAGACAGGGAAAACCAATGGTTGATATGTCCGCAGGAAAATGCTCTACAAATGGATTCAGATGATGGGTTTTTCCAAATCTCAGTGCCTGTTAGAGTGGGTTCAATTCACCTTCCAAAACAGCTCCTGGGGCAGGGGTGTCAACCCAGAACCTCCTTTTTGATTTGGACGGAGGTTGGAGGATGATATGCCACAAAAAAACGGGGTTGGAACATGTTGGAACCCTCACTGAGTTTCTTGTTGAACCCTTTGCTCCCCTAGGAATAACCTTGAAGATCTCCAAGAAAGTGATGCCAAAGCACCACCAGTGCCACGTTGTATGTTGGCCGATGACAAGAAGAAAGAGAGGAAAAAGAAGAATTCCTTCATCATGAAGAAATGTCGTGATGCATTTCAGAACGAAGAGAAGTGCCTCGAGCAGGCCGTACATGGCAATTGCAAGTGGTGCGAGGGGCTATGCGGACCAAGCGAAGTCTGAGGCGCATTGACATGGCATAGTTCGGAGCACGTTCCACGTGGCAGTGGGTTGCAGTGTGTTGAAACAAAGAATACGCCCAATTGATTCACCCAGGAGTGGGTAAATATGATGAAATATGATGAAATATGTATATCCAATTTTATTGTATATTTATCAAATTTATACCACCATGGCCATTTATATCCATGGTCTTCTCATGCTTACAAGTTGCCATTTTCCGGGGCCTGCGACCCACAACTTAGCGGAACCCTTCGGACACGTCCGACGTGCGCAGAAAAAGAGGGAAGAGGGAGGATCGATGGTGCCATGATCGGAGATTTCTTGGAGACTCCTTGGTTGATAAACATTTGGAGATACCATCTTGTTTTGATTGGTGTTGGTTCTTTTCTTCCTGACATGTTATCCATGAATCAATTGGGTGCCCACATGGAATGAATCAACCAGGGTCTGTGAATCCAGTGAAAAAGGTACCCGTTTGAGCGTCGAATTCTCTTAAAAACCACCACCCAAATTGACCAGAAATGCTTTGCATAAGCCATCCACAACAGGGATCTATTGTTGGGTTTGCTGCTTGACTGGACCTTCTATTGTGCGACCCCATTTTCACCATACCTTTTGTGGCTTAACCGGTTTGATAGCATGGTTCTATAACACCTTATAGCAGCCCATTCTAGAGCTCTTTTTGGTTCAAAAAAGATCCGCGATTTGTCAAAGCGACTTAAGTTTTGCGCCCGTCATGCGCAACTTCGTGGGCATGTTCTTGCTCTACATTTGCACTGTGCTTGCCTTGCGTCCCGAGCGTCTTGGGCTTCATAATCTTTCCCAGGCCATGATGGTCATGGGGATCTCAGAACCCCAGGAGGAACAAAAGTCTGTTAAGATGTTGGGAGAGCCTTTAGAATGGAGCCATTGAAAAACATGAAAAAATTGGACCGTTTGAACTTTTTTGGTGGTACCACCGTACCAGCCATGTGAAAAAAGCGGTGGTGACATTCATGGTTTCATGCTTTCGTACTGCGTTGACATGCTGCCAACCGACTCACAGAGTTGTCTTGTGCCGAGCAGGCTCCAAAAAGACGTCCTATTGTACCCTTCAGAAACTGACACAGACAGGGAAAACCAATGGTTGATATGTCCGCAGGAAAATGCTCTACAAATGGATTCAGATGATGGGTTTTTCCAAATCTCAGTGCCTGTTAGAGTGGGTTCAATTCACCTTCCAAAACAGCTCCTGGGGCAGGGGTGTCAACCCAGGACCTCCTTTTTGATTTGGACGGAGGTTGGAGGATGATATGCCACAAAAAAACGGGGTTGGAACATGTTGGAACCCTCACTGAGTTTCTTGTTGAACCCTTTGCTCACCTAGGAATAACCTTGAAGATCTCCAAGAAAGTGATGCCAAAGCACCACCAGTGCCACGTTGTATGTTGGCCGATGACAAGAAGAAAGAGAGGAAGAAGAAGAATTCCTTCATCATGAAGAAATGTCGTGATGCATTTCAGAACGAAGAGAAGTGCCTCGAGCAAGCCGTACATGGCAATTGCAAGTGGTGCGAGGGGCTATGCGGACCAAGCGAAGTCTGAGGCGCATTGACATGGCATAGTTCGGAGCATGTTCCACGTGGCAGTGGGTTGCAGTGTGTTGAAACAAAGAATACGCCCAATTGATTCACCCAGGAGTGGGTAAATATGATGAAATATGATGAAATATGTATATCCAATTTTATTGTATATTTATCAAATTTATACCACCATGGCCATTTGCATCCATGGTCTTCTCATGCTTACAGGTTGCCATTTTCCGGGGCCTGCGACCCACAACTTAGCGGAACCCTTCGGACACGTCCGACGTGCGCAGAAAAAGAGGGAAGAGGGAGGATCGATGGTGCCATGATCGGAGATTTCTTGGAGACTCCTTGGTTGATAAACATTTGGAGATACCATCTTGTTTTGATTGGTGTTGGTTCTTTTTTTCCTGACATGTTATTCATGAATCAATTGGGTGCCCACATGGAATGAATCAACCAGGGTCTATGAATCCAGTGAAAAAGGTACCTGTTTGAGCGTCGAATTCGCTTAAAAACCACCACCCAAATTGACCAGAAATGCTTTGCAGAAGCCATCCACAACAGGGATCTATTGTTGGGTTTGCTGCATTTGATTTGACTGGACCTTCTATTGTGCGACCCCATTTTCACCATACCTTTTGTGGCTTAACCGGTTTGATAGCATGGTTCTATAACACCTTATAGCAGCCCATTCTAGAGCTCTTTTTGGTTCAAAAAAGATCCGCGATTTGTCAAAGCGACTTAACTTTGCGCCCGTCATGCGCAACTTCGTGGGCATGTTCTTGCTCTACATTTGCACTGTGCTTGCCTTGCGTCCCGAGCGTTTTGGGCTTCAGAATCTTTCCCAGGCCGTGATGGTCATGGGGATATCAGTACCCAGGAGGAGCAAAAGTCTGTTAAGATGTTGGGAGAGCCTTTAGAATGGAGCCATTGAAAAACATGCAAAAATTGGACCGTTTGAACTTTTTTGGTGTTACCACCGTACCAGCCATGTGAAAAAAGCGGTGGTGACATTCATGGTTTCATGCTTTCGTACTGGGTTGACATGCTGGCAACCGACTCACAGAGTTGTCTTGTGCCGAGCAGGCTCCAAAAAGACGTCCTATTGTACCCTTCAGAAACTGACACAGACAGGGAAAACCAATGGTTGATATGTCCGCATGAAAATGCTCTACAAATGGATTCAGATGGTGGGTTTTTCCAAATCTTAGTGCCTGTTAGAGTGGGTTCAATTCACCAACGGGCTCCCTGGCTTCCAAAACAGCTCCTGGGGCAGGGGTGTCAACCCAGGACCTCCGTTTTGATTTGGACGGAGGTTGGAGGATGATATGCCACAAAAAATGGGGTTGGAACATGTTGGAACCCTCACTGAGTTTCTTGTTGAACCCTTTGCTCACCTAGGAATAACCTTGAAGATCTCCAAGAAAGTGATGCCAAAGCACCACCAGTGCCACGTTGTATGTTGGCCGATGACAAGAAGAAAGAGAGGAAGAAGAAGAATTCCTTCATCATGAAGAAATGTCGTGATGCATTTCAGAACGAAGAGAAGTGCCTCGAGCAGGCCGTACATGGCAATTGCAAGTGGTGCGAGGGGCTATGCGGACCAAGCGAAGTCTGAGGCGCATTGACATGGCATAGTTCGGAGCACGTTCCACGTGGCAGTGGGTTGCAGTGTGTTGAAAGAAAGAATACGCCCAATTGATTCACCCAGGAGTGGGTAAATATGATGAAATATGATGAAATATGTATATCCAATTTTATTGTATATTTATCAAATTTATACCACCATGGCCGCAGAAAAAGAGGGAAGAGGGAGGATCGATGGTGCCATGATCGGAGATTTCTTGGAGACTCCTTGGTTGATAAACATTTGGAGATACCATCTTGTTTTGATTGGTGTTGGTTCTTTTTTTCCTGACATGTTATTCATGAATCAATTGGGTGCCCACATGGAATGAACCAACCAGGGTCTGTGAATCCAGTGAAAAAGGTACCCGTTTAAGCGTCGAATTCGCTTAAAAACCACCACCCAAATTGACCAGAAATGCTTTGCATAAGCCATCCACAACAGGGATCTATTGTTGGGCTTGCTGCATTTGATTTGACTGGACCTTCTATTGTGCGACCCCATTTTCACCATACCTTTTGTGGCTTAACCGGTTTGATAGCATGGTTCTATAACACCTTATAGCAGCCCATTCTAGAGCTCTTTTTGGTTCAAAAAAGATCCGCGATTTGTCAAAGCGACTTAACTTTGCGCCCGTCATGCGCAACTTCGTGGGCATGTTCTTGCTCTACATTTGCACTGTGCTTGCCTTGCGTCCCGAGCGTCTTGGGCTTCATAATCTTTCCCAGGCCATGATGGTCATGGGGATCTCAGAACCCCAGGAGGAACAAAAGTCTGTTAAGATGTTGGGAGAGCCTTTAGAATGGAGCCATTGAAAAACATGAAAAAATTGGACCGTTTGAACTTTTTTGGTGGTACCACCGTACCAGCCATGTGAAAAAAGTGGTGGTGACATTTATGGTTTCATGCTTTCGTACTGGGTTGACATGCTGGCAACCCACTCACGGAGTTGTCTTGCGCCGAGCAGGCTCCAAAAAGACGTCCTACTGTACCCTTCAGAAACTGACACAGACAGGGAAAACCAATGGTTGATATGTCCGCAGGAAAATGCTCTACAAATGGATTCAGATGGCGGGTTTTTCCAAATCTTGGTGCCTGTTAGAGTGGGTTCAATTCACCAACGGGCTCCCTGGCTTCCAAAACAGCTCCTGGGGCAGGGGTGTCAACCCAGGACCTCCGTTTTGATTTGGACGGAGGTTGGAGGATGAAATGCCACAAAAAAACGGGGTTGGAACATGTTGGAACCCTCACTGAGTTTTTTGTTGAACCCTTTGCTCACCTAGGAATAACCTTGAAGATCTCCAAGAAAGTGATGCCAAAGCACCACCAGTGCCACGTTGTATGTTGGCCGATGACAAGAAGAAAGAGAGGAAGAAGAAGAATTCCTTCATCATAAAGAAATGTCGTGATGCATTTCAGAACGAAGAGAAGTGCCTCGAGCAGGCCGTACATGGCAATTGCAAGTGGTGCGAGGGGCTATGCGGACCAAGCGAAGTCTGAGGCGCATTGACATGGCATAGTTCGGAGCACGTTCCACGTGGCAGTGGGTTGCAGTGTGTTGAAAGAAAGAATACGCCCAATTGATTCACCCAGAAATGGGTAAATATGATGAAATATGATGAAATATGTACATCCAATTTTATTGTATATTTATCAAATTTATACCACCATGGCCATTTATATCCATGGTCTTCTCATGCTTACAGGTTGCCATTTTCCGGGGCCTGCGACCCACAACTTAGCGGAACCCTTCGGACACGTCCGACGTGCGCAGAAAAAGAGGGAAGAGGGAGGATCGATGGTGCCATGGTCGGAGATTTCTTGGAGACTCCTTGGTTGATAAACATTTGGAGATACCATCTTGTTTTGATTGGTGTTGGTTCTTTTTTTCCTGACATGTTATCCATGAATCAATTGGGTGCCCACATGGAATGAATCAACCAGGGTCTGTGAATCCAGTGAAAAAGGTACCCGTTTGAGCGTCGAATTCGCTTAAAAACCACCACCCAAATTTACCAGAAATGCTTTGCATAAGCCATCCACAACAGGGATCTGTTGTTGGGTTTGCTGCATTTGATTTGACTGGACCTTCTATTGTGCGACCCCATTTTCACCATACCTTTTGTGGCTTAACCGGTTTGATAGCATGGTTCTAAAACACCTTATAGCAGCCCATTCTAGAGCTCTTTTTGGTTCAAAAAAGATCCGCAATTTGTCAAAGCGACTTAACTTTGCGCCCGTCATGCGCAACTTCGTGGGCATGTTCTTGCTCTACATTTGCACTGTGCTTGCCTTGCGTCCCGAGCGTCTTGGGCTTCATAATCTTTCCCAGGCCATGATGGTCATGGGGATCTCAGAACCCCAGGAGGAACAAAAGTCTGTTAAGATGTTGGGAGAGCCTTTAGAATGGAGCCATTGAAAAACATGAAAAAAATCGACCGTTTGAACTTTTTTGGTGGTACCACCGTACCAGCCATGTGAAAAAAGTGGTGGTGACATTTATGGTTTCATGCTTTCGTACTGGGTTGACATGCTGGCAACCCACTCACGGAGTTGTCTTGCGCCGAGCAGGCTCCAAAAAGACGTCCTACTGTACCCTTCAGAAACTGACACAGACAGGGAAAACCAATGGTTGATATGTCCGCAGGAAAATGCTCTACAAATGGATTCAGATGGTGGGTTTTTCCAATTCTTAGTGCCTGTTAGAGCGGGTTCAATTCACCAACGGGCTCCCTGGCTTCCAAAACAGCTCCTGGGGCAGGGGTGTCAACCCAGGACCTCCGTTTTGATTTGGACGGAGGTTGGAGGATGATATGCCACAAAAAATGGGGTTGGAACATGTTGGAACCCTCACTGAGTTTCTTGTTGAACCCTTTGCTCACCTAGGAATAACCTTGAAGATCTCCAAGAAAGTGATGCCAAAGCACTACCACTACCAGAGCCACGTTGTATGTTGGCCGATATGCAGAAGAAAGAGAGGAAGTCCGACATCATGAAGAAATGTCGTGATGCATTTCAGAACAAAGAGAAGTGCCACGAGCTGGCCATAGAAGGCAACTGCAAGTGGTGCGAGGAGCTATGCGGACCAAGCGAAGTCTGAGGCGCATTGACATGGCATAGTTCGGAGCACGTTCCACGTGGCAGTGGGTTGCAGTGTGTTGAAACAAAGAATACGCCCAATTGATTCACCCAGGAGTGGGTAAATATGATGAAATATGATGAAATATGTATATCCAATTTTATTGTATATTTATCAAGTTTATACCACCATGGCCATTTATATCCATGGTCTTCTCATGCTTACAGGTTGCCATTTTCCGGGGCCTGCGACCCACAACTTAGCGGAACCCTTCGGACACGTCCGACGTGCGCAGAAAAAGAGGGAAGAGGGAGGATCGATGGTGCCATGGTCGGAGATTTCTTGGAGACTCCTTGGTTGATAAACATTTGGAGATACCATCTTGTTTTGATTGGTGTTGGTTCTTTTTTCCCTCACATGTTATTCATGAATCAATTGGGTGCCCACATGGAATGAATCAACCAGGGTCTGTGAATCCAGTGAAAAAGGTACCCGTTTGAGCGTCGAATTCTCTTAAAAACCACCACCCAAATTGACCAGAAATGCTTTGCATAAGCCATCCACAACGGGGATCTATTGTTGGGTTTGCTGCATTTGATTTTTACTGGACCTTCTATTGTGCGAACCCATGTTCACTATACTTTTTGTGGCTTAAAGTGTTATCCTGTTTGATAGCATGGTTCTATAACACCTTATGGTATAGCAACCCCGAAATAGGTAGAAAAGCTGGGAGCCTGGACAAGAGGGAATCCAACATATGTCAATAATTTGTTCCTTTTTTGGTGAACCCCAAGCAACCCCTAGATCCAAAAGTAAAATCATACTAAGTTTTAGTGGTAAATAAATGCACATAAGCGATCGCTGGTTTGAAATATATGCCCGAAGATCGGAAGAAATCTTTACGGAAAGCCAAACCGAACCTTTTCTGAATCTTTTCGGGTGCAAAAAACTCATAGTTACCCTCTGGTAAATATTCATAGACCCTGCTAATCAATGACCATCACCCATTTTTAGTGGAAACTAATCTTCCAACGCTTATTTGCCAGAGTCGAACTGTTAATTTACCAGATGGTGTTGCTATGTATCTATGGTGCCCAGCGACCATTGGCCACAGCCCCGAGGTTCATTGTCCTGGACCAATGGCGCTGGGACTGGACGGGGCTCGACACTACAACGCCGGTGCCAATGCCCACGCTGAAGCGCTTGGCAGCTCAAGGCCCGGCCCTTCTCCAATGGAGATCCCAGCTGACCCAAAAAAATGAAGGGTTCACAATGAAGGGTTCACAATGATGGTTCCCATGGTTCTTGGATTTGCTCAAGATGATATCAGTTACCTTTATTATGACTTTAATTAATGGGAAAGCCACTATTTTTGGGCGTCCGGAGTCCTGAAATCCGAGTATTGCGACTGGTTGGGGGGGTTCAAATATATAGTTAACGTTTCAACCATGCAAAAGGGATGATTGGCAGAGATGACGAGCACATGTTTGGGGTTAAAGCATGTTAAAACCACCAACCTGTGATTATGTTCATTTGCTTTCCGTGATTTGAATCGTTTTCTTTTCAGGGATATGCGCCCCAAATAATAGTTCATCATATACGTTTCAAGTTTACAGCACATTTTGCCATGAAAATTTGCCATTGTCTGGGATACGCATTCCCATATTTCCAATGTCTGAACAAGACCCTAAATCTGGGGTTTGGAAGACGATTTCATTGGCAAATTGCATTGTCTAAATCAGGATCCTCCAAGTAACTCGTCAGCTTTTCCAGGAAAGCCGTGTATCCCATGACTTTCGGTGGCATGCTGCAGGTGTTCGTTTCACCCGGGCCTACACCCCGTCGCCCCAGTGCGTTCCAGCCAGAACCGCGATGGCGCACGTGCCTTGAGGGGGGGAGGGCTGCAAGACCATGCTGACGAAGAAATGTAGCGACACCCTCATTTTCCAGTTGCCTGCCAGGTAACCCCCAACTATCTCAAAGGCAACTGGAAGGCTAGTGATGATGACTAATGTTCCCAAACTCTGGGGGCAACATCTTTCAGCCAATAGGAAGATGTGGAGATCTGCCGACTTGGGGATTTCAAGTAAGAACAAAAGAGGAGTTCCTATTGAAATTGCTAAATGCCGTGAAAATACTGGACTTTGATGGTTCCTAGAAATGGTTCCCTTTGATTTCCTTCTTGGTGTTGGGGAGGTTTCATCCCCCTTATGTTCCGCGGTTGCCCCGACGGTTGCAGGAACTCCAGATTTGAAAACTGGTGGTTCCGCGGCTACCCCAACCCTGGGGACCCTGTTGACCCTGGGGACCCTGGGGACTCGGTGGCTCGGGGCCCGCCCAGGTTCGAGAATACAAAGACACGTGGTTAAAAAACCAGTCAGACCTGGCGGCAAAACAAACCAGCGCCCTGGCCAGCACGATGCAGGGGAATCGTTGTTGTGATGGTTGGGTCAGGGAAAACCATTTGAAATCAGTTTCTTTCCGATTGTTGAATTATTTAGGGCAAAAGGCCTCACATTGCCTCCTGGTCATACTCTTACCCGCCTTACCCTCCTATTATGTTTTCAAAGGTAATGTGTTTGTTAAGATGTTGAAAGGGTATGGTTCAACAGTTCAACCTTGGGTATTTTCAAGACTTCCAAAGTTCTCTTGGCGAGGTCCGAGCCTCACCACCCCCACCTTCATGAGCGCCTTGCAAGATGTGGGTTATACCACCATGATGGTGGGCAAAGACCATTTGCCTCTTGGCGGGAAAAAAAGGGGTGTGGGTTTCGAGGTAGTTAGGTTTGGATGGGTTTGGTGGGTTTATGCCGTTTCTTTGCATGTTTATCCCTATTTGGAGGAATGTTTGAAAATTTGAAGCCTATTGAGGGGATGATGACATAGAATGGACCACGTAGCGCTGCTGTTTCAAATGTTTTATGTTCAAACCATTATTTGGGATAGTAATGCCCCGTGAAGTGTCATGATCCAAAAAGGTCACTGTTTTCTATTTGTCTTTCTTCAAACTTATTTGGGATTGTCGTTTCCAATGACTTTTGGAATGGGCGCAAACTGCCAATCAGAAGATTCCTTCCCATGTCGGCGATTGATTGATTAGAATGATTAGATGATTAGAATGATTAGATTATCGGGCTAAACATAAGGGGAGAGGCGCCTTCTAGCAATCTAATCCGGGAATGGGAACTTCTCCAATCAGTTGCATTAAATTTGACCGTTTTATCAGGAATTGAATTTCTATTGCCATGTTTGCTCACGTGTTTGTTCACCGGAGTGTAACATGTGGTATTGTCACACAATTTGGAATCCCGTTCCATGCGATGCTTTGTATCATATTCCCTTTTCAACTTGCAAAGTTAATTGGATACTAACTTCCATTCATACAAGTAGACCCCGCGCAAGGCGGATGGCGGAAGTTTCCAGGTTTAAGAACTGCGACGCTATAGGATCCAAAGACAAGGTTTGCCTATAGGAGATGCAGCGGACCCTCACAGCTTCTCAACTCTGTTCTGTGAATTCGTCGTCATTTTGCCTCACCCCTTTTCAATTGTGACCACCACTTCTCAACTCTTCTCAGACCATCTCAGCTCTTCTCAATTTTCGCAACTCTTTTTTTCAACAGCTCTGAAAATTGTTCCATCTCTTCCCACCTCAGCTCGCTCAACTCATCTCACCTCTTTCTCAGCTAATCTCAACTCTTCTCAACTTCTCAACTCTGGCCAACTCTTTTCAACTCTTCTCACCTCCTGTCACAGAGATGCTTGCACACAGGGCAAGCTTTTACACGGAGAAGCATTTAAACACAGCAAGCTCTTACACAGAGAAGCTCTTACACAGAAGCTTTTACACACAGCAAGCTTTTACGCAAGCTTTTGAACAGAGAAGCTTTTACGCAAAGCAAGCTTCTACACAGAGAAGCTTTTACACAGAGCAAGCTTTTTCACAGCGCAAGCTTTTACACAGAGAAGCTTTCACACAGAGCAAGCTTTTTCACAGAGAAGCTTTTACACAAAGCACGCTTTTATATACACAAAGCAAGCTTTTACACAGAGAAACTTTTGCACAGAGAAGCTTTTACACACATCAAGCTTTTGCACAGAGAAACCTTTACACAGAGCAAGCTTTTTCACAAAGCAAGCTTTTACACAAAAGCAAGATTTTACATACACAAAGCAAGCTCTTACACAGAGAAGCTTTTGCACAGAGAAGCTTTTACACACAGCAAGCTTTTACACAGAGAAGCTTTTACACAGATGATTTTACACAGAGCAAGCTTTTGCACAGAGAAGCTTTTACACAGCGAGCTTTTACACACGGCAAGCTTTTACACAGGAGAAGAGTTTACACAGAGCAAGCTTTTCACAGAGCAAGCTTTTGCACAGAGAAGCTCTTGCACAGAGAAGCTTTTACACAGAGAAGCTTTTACACAAAGCAAGCCCTTACACAGAGAAGCTTTTGCACAGAGAAGCTTTTTCACACAGCAAGCTTTTACACAAAGCAAGCTTTTACACAGAGAAGCTTTCACACAAAGCAAGCTGTTGCACAGAGAAGCTTTTACGCACATCATATCTCGAGAAACCAAAGGCAGCACGGACTCTGACAGCCTTTTTCCTGACCTCAATCCTCAAGACCCATCGATGTGCGGGCGAACCCTTAAGCGCCGGCCTAAACCTTGAGGCTGGACAAATACGCGTGAAACATCAGATGAAATTCCAATTCGTCAAAGCAAAAAGTGATACATGGCAAATCATCAAAGCATTGGTGCCACATGGTATGCAAATGGAAATTGGCAAGAAATCACCGTGTCGCAACAACACGGAGACATAAGAAACATCTCCCATGCAAAAATTCGCCCGGGTGGGCAATTCAAAATTCAACTGCTTGGAATCCACCCTTTCTATGGAAGAAAATCATGCTAGATGCGGAAGCAGGTGGCAGTCACAAATTCCATAGGATGCAGGGAAAACGTCAAGGAATCCGCTCACTCTGCTGCCACCAAAGAAGTTGATTGTTGACAGAATGCCGGCAAGGAACTGTCCAAAGATGTGCCCAAAACAAAGTTTAGTCCCTTCCAAATGGCACCACCTCCAACCAAAACTATTCCGAGAGATGCAGAGTAATTAAATGGGGATTCCGGTGGTTCGTTGGATTGCTTGGGTTGTTCCAGCAAAGTCCCAAGTGATAATCTTGATGGCATGGACATAGCTGAAAATCCCAAAGAATGGCTCAGGTAGCTGACTGGCGCGGAAGCACCAGCCGGCACCAAAACCACAAAAGAAGCACATGCACAGAGTGACGGCATGCCCAAGCCCCCGAGGAGGAGAACAAGGCATACCATCGTTTGTGGCTTGTTTTTGCCAAGGCAGGCTCAAGCCCCTTTGATATGAGCGACTCCGTTCACACACTGCATTCGGACATGGCAAGCTCCATGAGTTTGGCCACTCGCTGAGCTTTGATGCGGGGCACAGCATCATCTGGGAATTTGCTTTCAACGATCTCACGCAAAACTTTGGCATCCAGAGAAGTGAGGCGCTGTTCCACATCCTCCCAGCTAGTGACCCCTTGGCAATTCACTTGTTTGTCAAACAAGGCTTCAATCAGCCTAGCAGCCAGAGCCGAAATGTCAGCACGAGGATTGGGAGCAGCTTTTTCACCATGGGCACGTGCTGGTGGAGTTCTTTTGTCTTTGAGACCTTGCGGCAAAGAACTCAAAACCTTCTCCTCCAAGGCTTTGAATTGTGCCTCCCTCTCTTCTTTTTCACGCTTTTCTTTATTTGCTTGTTTCCTGGCTTCCGCCGCAGCTTGGGCATCTTCACGAAATTTGCGAAGCTCCTTGAGCTCTTTGGACATGCCATGCCGGCTGCGTCGGCGACTGTCACGGGACGAGTCACTGGACATAGAGGCAGACCGAGCACGCTTGCTTCTCTTCCTGTTTGAGCGGTCCTGGATCACATCAACGATCAAGGACAAGGCATCGTACATGGGGACATTGCCAGGAGTGAAGCCGCCTTTACTGCCTCCTTTTCCATGGCGATGCCAGGATTGCCCAAAGCCATTCCAAGAACTGTTCCTATGCCAAGAAGACCCTTTTCCATCACTCCATCCTGCAAAGGCGCAGGAAGATTGCAAAACCAGCAAGAGGCTAAGCAACGGAAACATGGTCAGCTACAGGGCCAGGGAGCTCTTCTAAGCTACACTATTGAGCCTTGTCTGGCGGCACTTCCTTCTTAATGGTATTCCAAGCGCATTGAGCAAAAAAGACATAGGGAGTAAACGCAAGATTATGGATTGAGAATAAGGCAGATGAAACATATGTAGTAGACCATCCGGCGAGTCTGGCTTCCAAAAGCAAACGTACGATTGCACTTTGCAACTCTGATGAAGGCTTGGGCTCAATCTCACTCCAGCGTTTAAACCGACCCAGCAAAATATTTAGAAAAAATGTTTTTGACACACTCCAGCGTGGAGGCAAAGCCAACTGTTTGATGTTGAGGCCCAAGCAACATGTGTCTAAATCCAAGCTCATATCCAACCACTTGATACAAAGACCGTCGTCAGACACATCAAAAGGGACATTGTAAATGACGCTCAGGGAATCCACGAGACACTGTCTGCAAAACATTCGACTGACAAGGATGACATCATCAGTGTAGCGGATATGACATACGGCTCGGTTCCAGCTGCATTTACTGTAAAAACCTGCTCGCGCACGTATTTCATTAGAACATTTCCAACGCCGTTCTTGACCTCCCAGGGTAATGCACGCTGCACACTTTGACATTAGTCCACCGATCGGCAAGCCATCCATTTCGAAAACGGTCTGACAGACTGACACTAGACACACAGACATGGCGGCACAGAAAGCGCGTAGCAAATCTTCTACTAACCAGGTATGTCTCTTGTGAAGATGCAGAAAACGAGTGGCCCCAAACCAGCCAATTCTCTCGCGTTTTGATTCAACAGTGACAGAAACCTGTTTCGTGGAGTGTGTGAAGATATGTAATAATTCTTGTGCTTCTGCAATAGCTTCCGCGCGATTGACCTTCTCAAAGAATTGACCAGCATCGGCAACAACTCCTGACACTGAAGATTGGAACGCGCCGCAGCGGTGGCAACAATTGTTCTGATTTGGCAAAAGCATCGCAATATTACTCCGCAGTTTCGTTGAGGCATCTTGTAAGCTCCACGCATCGCATGTATTTCCACAATGTTTCAAGATTGTATCCCACGCTCGATGTATAGACTTCCATGATGCTCTGGCTGGCCACATGCTGTAGCTCACAATTTTTCACACGCATGTTTCCACTCCAACATTTCTGCTTGATAGTAACGTACATGTATGGCAACGAGTCCGTGTCAGCACTAATACGAAGTTTTTTGGCTAGTTCATCACCAAGAAGTGCAAGTAACAGTTTGCATAACCAGGCATTTGCATTTGCTTCAGCAGGCGACATTTTGTGGTGTGTCCAAGTTGAAGCCATCCAAGAAAAGGAACACATTAGAAAAAGGTAGGAGGAGCGCTTCAAAATCCAAGCGAATTTTTTGCGCTTGTCGTCAGGTACAATGGCATTGTCAAAATGACCAAGAAAATCTGCACTGAAATCTTGATATTGCTGCTTGGACGCACGAAACTTTTGCCATCTTTTTCTCATGTCAGGAGGAACATGTGGAGCGCAAGCGTAGTGGAAATCACGAACGCGCGACGAAGTCGATGAATACCCAGAAAACGATCGAACTTCTGAAATGATTATTTCATACAAGGCATCTCTTTCAGCTTCAAGACTACTAGGTCGCACTCCGTCTTCCAACACTTTTCAACACATCTCATTGTACCAGAAACCACTTCAGGAATTTCAGGATGGGAAGGCTGCGGGCTGCATGACTTACAGATCTTCGCATGATTCCACCAATCCATGAAGTATTCGGGCCTTCCAAACACGAACCGAAAACGGGAGACAACCCAACGTTTCACTAAACAGGACCGATGTTTCCAAGGAGACGCAAAAGAAATATGGTTGACCAAAAATCGTTGGGCCAATGTCACCAAAGACTTGTCCCAAACCTTCACAAAACGAATTTTTGTGGTGAGCAACTGTCTGGCACGAAGCCAAGGGTCCAAGTGCCTTCTCGCCGCGGTTCGCTGATGTGGTTTTTTCAACAGTTTAAGCTGCTTGGCGCATTTTATAGCTGCTTCAGGGTCATGGGCTTCAGCAACACTCCAGGAGAACCTGCACCTTCTGGAAGCAAGAAACAACAGGAACAAGCTTCTATGTTCGGGAGCAAAGATGTTCAAAGGACCAACGACACCAGATTTTTGCAAAACGAGCTTTTGCTTGAGACAATAAGCAGTTTTGAAAGGGAAATCCCATAGTGACTGGACTGGCTCAGGGGCGAGCAACTGGTCTTGTGAAAGCCGCTCACGCTTCTGGTCAATCAAACGGTCACGAAATGACAAATCTTGCGCTTGGCATGACTTTCGCATGTGCTTTGGGGGTCTGTTACGCATTTTCTTCCTGGCACGCTTGCAACTCAAGGGCATCCCATTTCCATTTGGAGAATGAAGCTTGATTTCAACGAACTCGCAAGCACGAATATAATGTTCAGGACCTGTGAGCGAAATCAAAAAAAAACATGCTAGACCAAAGAGGTGTTTTCCTGCTCAATCTGTACCGAAGTTTGTAACCTTCACGGTATTGAGGACGCATAGCACCTTGTAAATGTTCAAAAAGTCTACGGGTCAGGCCACCTTGCTTGTCATGATTTGGACGCCAGAGTTTTCCAATACCAACATAACGCCATGACGAAGAGAATCAGTGGTAAAGCCCAAAATCAGCAGAACAATTATTGACAAGTAGCTGTTGCTTGCTGACCAAGCTTTCAAGAAAAGGCAAGGACCAAGCATGCTGCAGTTCACAACCATGGGTCAAAGCACGTCTTTCGCCAGCAGGTAACAAGTGTAACACTTTTTTTGCTTGCTGCGTGTGGCAGCCACAATAGCGCCTTGCAAGCCCAAACAACTGCCAGCACTATTTCCACTGCAGGATTGTGTCTTCGCCCAAGCAAGTGGTCAGGGAAAAACCAAAAGAGGAGAAATCTCCCAGACGAATCCAGTTTTGGCCATAAATCTTGTGGAAGCGAAGCTTTTCCTAGACCTGCGCGCACTTCTTCCAAAATCATGGAGCAAATATCAACTGCAAAATCATGGGCGGAATAGTGATATGTAGGTGAATTTTGCAAACCCAGGTGCCGAAGGAACGCAACATGACGAAGAACGTCCAAAGGAGAAAGACCTTCGAGTTTTCTGACAGGTACGGCCGAGTGAAGCACCCTGGAATGAGGAGACCTCGAAGAGGATGAAGAAATGATGGGGATAGATGGCATACCGCTGCAATCGCTGTGCACATCAAACACAGGAAGCCGGAGACAATACCAACTGTATCACATATCTTGAGAAACCAAAGGCAGCACGGACTCTGACAGCCTTTTTCCTGACCTCAATCCTCAAGACCCATCGATGTGCGAGCGAACCCTTAAGCGCCGGCCTAAACCTTGAGGCTGGACAAATACGCATGAAACATCAGATGAAATTCCAATTCGTCAAAGTAAAAAGTGATACATGGCAAATCATCAAAGCATTGGTGCCACAAGGTATGCAAATGGAAATTGGCAAGAAATCACCGTGTCGCAAAAACACGGAGACATGAGAAACGTCTCCCATGCAAAAATTCGCCCGGGTGGGCAATTCAAAATTCAACTGCTTGCAAGCTTTTACACACAGCAAACTTTTACACAGAGAAGCTTTTACACACGGCAAGCTTTTACACAGAGAAGATTTTACACAGAGCAAACTTTTTCACAGCGCAATCTCTTGCACAGAGAAGTTTTTTACACACAGCAAGCTTTTGCACAGAGAAGCTTTTACGCAAAGCAAGCTTCTACACAGAGAAGCTTTTACACAAAGCAAGCTCTTGCACAGAGAAGCTTTTGCACAGCAAGCTTTTGCACACGGCAAGCTTTTACACAGAGAAGATTTTACACAGAGCAAACTTTTTCACAGAGCAATCTTTTGCACAGAAGCTCTTGCACAGAGAAGCTTTTGCACAGAGAAGCTTTCACACACAGCAAGCTTTTTCACAGAACAAGCTTTCGCACAGAGAAGCTCTTGCACAGAGAAGCTTTTACAGACAGCAAGCGTTTACACAGAGGAGCTTTTACACAAAGCAAGCGTTTGCACAGAGAAGCTTTTACACACAGCAAGCTTTTATAGTGACGGACCGAAACTTAGAATGCCATTTTGGAACCGTACCCACTGGAAAAAGTAGCGGCAAAATATAGAAATATGTGCTCCCGCAACTTTTTGACTGTATTTTTTCGATAAATGGCTCTTGCAGATGTTAACTTAGAATGCGTGTCAGGTCCTTTTCTATTTTGACATGCTTCACTTGTTCTTTTGGATACCTTTTGATGCAGACATTTCAGGGGTTTTTGCCCTGTTGTTCAGAGATTCGGCGCCCATTTCAATGTAAATTAAGGCAGTAAATCATTCCAAAACCACCCATTTCAATATTTTGGAATCCAAACTTGTGCACAGGAAGGGATACAGGACCGTTCCAAGAGCAAACAAAACGCTGGGATTTCGAGGGAAAGAGTGAAAAAGGGCCAAACTTTTTGGCATGAGAGTGCGATTGCGCTATGCTTTCAAAGCTTTTTGAATATAGTACCGGATTAAAACTTAGAAGGGGCCCCCAGTTTCCAAACCCGTGTTATAACAGTTAATAACTGTGTTCCAATATTTATAGTTTCGTCTGCGCAATTCAAAATATAATCACATATGTCCGTTTTTCCTTGGGCAAAACATTGCAGGAAAGATGGAAACCAAACGAATACACCAATATAGAAATATAGTATCTAGAACTATACAATGATTTTGACATGAATTTCATAACATTCATGATATATATATATATATACATGGTGATCGATCTAAAGGTCCTTGTAAGGAGTTTTAATTGCGAAAGCCGCGCATGTTATGTTGGAAACCCTCGTGAAAGTTTTTTTTCGAGTTCGCGAAAGTAAAATTTTATTTCGCGAAAGTTTCGCGAAAGTTGGGTATTATAATCATTCTATGTAAAGGGCTGCCACCCACTGCCGCCCGGGGT